CTGCAGCACACAGTGTATAATGAGAGAAAAAAACTGGGACCGTGATTTTCGATTAAAACAGTGACTTTGCAGTGTTTTTTCGTATGTTTTTTATAGTTGTATTTGCGATTTCTTGGTCTCATTTGATAGAATGGAAGATATGTTACAGAAATAGAGATGATTTTGATTGGTTTTAGCACTGGAAATGGTTTGAAACTGAGCTCAAAGTAGCGGAAATATTAAATTTTTGTCGATGTTCAAGAGTAAGCAAACGACCTCACACGTCTAATACACGCCAGCTGGTGGGTCTAATATACATTCGCAAATGTGATGATGATATTTATACAATTATTACAATATTGCATAACAGTAAATCTTCTATTTTTTTGGTTTGAATAAAAATTCATTATGTGAATAAAAAATCAAAATGGAATTCATTTGTAAAGTCTCAAAACATAACTAATGAACCGAGGAAATGTTAGTTTAGTGCCAGGAATGTCTGCATTGTTTATTCTGGACACTATTTTGAAATTGGAATATTTTGAACTTTGTGTTAAATTGGCCAAATTACCAATTTCCGATCACTTTATTTTGTAGTTGAAACAGTTGACTGGGCGATTTATTGTGCTCACTCGATAGAATAGAAGTAATACTAGTGAAATAGCTAAGAATTTGGTCGACTGGAATAATGTAATTGGCCTAAAATGGGAGTCAAAGTCGGCAAAATCGCCAATTCGTAAATATCGCTGACACATCAAAATTCGTGAGAGCATAATTTTGTCAATTTTCCATCAAATTTCGTACTTTTTGTTTTATTACCTTCAGAAAAAGATTCTCTACCATTTCATAAGAAAAAATAAAAAAAATTTTTTTAAAATTCTTGGACCCTGGTATGCACTTTGAAATTTAGCCTCTGGACCCTGAAAGGGTTAAGATGTCAATTTATTATTCAATCATTGCTGAACCCATAGCAAATAGAACTCCTATGTCATAGAGTGTGCAATTACTTATTTTTTAACACACTAACCATCTCCCACAAAGGTATAAAAGTAAACACTCAGTATTATTCATTCAACAGAGCCAACTTGCCAAAAGTGTATAGCATAACAATTCAAATGACCCTTCCAACTGCAACATCCTCACCCCTCCTACAGAGTGAAGCATTGTATTTCCCACATCTAGGACTCAAGTCCAGCTAATTGGTTTTTCCTGAATCCCTTAGTATTACCTTGCTCACACTCCAACAACATGTCAAATTCATGAGCACCACTTGTCTCCACTCACTGTGATCTAACACACACACACAAGCCTGCTGGATGCTCAAACCCTTAGCACTCAAAACCTCCATTACCCTCTACTTCCAATCCTTCTTAGGATAATCTCTACCCCCCTCTTTCCTTACCCCCAGATCTACGAGTACATACCCTTTTAATCATCCAATCTTCCTTCAACTTTTTTAAATGCCCAAACTACCTCAACAACCCCTCCTCAGCCCTCAGAATTATACCCTTGGTTACCCCCACGCCATCTTCTAAATTTCTATGCTCAGAATTCTCTGTACAAAATTCACACCCCACACTTTTTCAAACATGACGTCTCCACTGCCAACCACTAAACTCTAGTACATTTCCCTTTTAGCCTCCATGGACAAAATTATTTCTCTCCACAGATGCCTCAATACACTATCTACCTTTAATACCCCTTGTCTACTCCATGGTTCACCTCTTTTATGTACCCACATTTGCTGACATTTTATATTTATATTTGATGGGATCAAGACAGAAATGTTAAAAGAAGGTGAGGATATAGTTTTGGAGTAGTTAGTGCTTTTATTTAATGAATGTGTGAAAGAGGGAAAAGTACCTAAGGATTCAGTGTGTGCATAGTTCCTTTGTATACAGGAAAAGGGGACAAGTGTAAAATTGTAAGAAAAAAAAAGCCAATTGAGTATATCAAGTTTAGTATATCAAGTGTATAGTAGTATGGGCAAGATGGAGAATAGGACTGCAGATGAATAAGGAGGCTTTAGGAAGGGTAAGAGATGTGTAGACCAAGTGTTTACAGTGAAGCATATAAGTGAACAATATTTAGATAAGAGTAAGTAAGTTTTTGTTGCATTTATGGATTTGGAAAAAGACATGTGATAGTGTGGATAGGGCATGTAAGTGTATGGAATAGGTGGTAGGTTGCTGAAAGCAGTTAACAGTTTTTATGAGGATAGTGAGGCTCAAGTTAAAGTATGTAGGAGAGAGGATGATTATTTTCCAGTAAAAATGGGCCTAAGAGTTGTGTAATGTCACCATAGTTGTTTATCTTATTTATAGATGGGGTTATAAAAGAAGTAAATGCTAGGGTATAGGGGAGGTGTGGGAATAAAATATGCAGAATGTAATACAGAGTGGCAGTTGTCAGTTTCTTTATGCTGATGACACTGTGGTTTTGGAAGATTCTGAAGAGAAGTTGCAAATGTTGGTAGATGAATTTGGGACATTATGTAAAAGAAAGAGAAATTAAAAGCGAACATTGGACAATGCAAAAGTGATGAGGGTAACAAACAATTTAGATAATGAAAGATTGTAGTATGTATATTAACCCCTTGACTGTCGCAACCCCCAATCCTGAGGTGTCTCCTGGTGTCACAAAATTTCAAAAAAAAAAAAAAAAATTCTTATGAAATGATAGAGAATCTTTTCCCGATTGTAATGACACCAAAAAAAAAACGAAATTTGATGGAAAACTGACGGAATTACGCTCTCGCGAAGTTAGCGACCCCGGCGATATTTACAAATTGTTGATTTTGCCCACTTTGAGCCCTATTTTCGGATAATTCCATTATTCCAGTCAACCAAACTCATAGCTATTTCTTCAGAACTCCATTTTTTTCTATCGATTGAGTACAAGAAACTGCCCATTTACCGATTTCAACTACCCAATAACATGGTCAGAAATTTGCAATTTGGCCAATTTCACGAAAATTAAAAAATATGACAATTTCAAAATAAGGACCAGAATGAACAATGCAGACATTCCTGGCTCTAAAACATTTTCTTTGTTATCAGTCATGTCTCCAGGCCCATCTGATATTCCTCTTGCTTTTTATTTTGAATTTTTATTCAAACAAAAAATAGAAGATTTATTGTTATGCAGACTACTACAATACTGTAATAATTGTAAAAATTACATCAACCCATTCATGACTGCATATTAGAATGGCTATTTGGACATTTATTGGACAATGACATCATTTGTTTACTTTTGAACATCGGCAAAAATCAAACATTTCCCGTACTTTGTGCTCCATTTCCAGGTTCTTTTTATAGTAAAATCAATCAAAATCACCTCTATTTCTGTAATATATTTTCCATTCTATCAAATGAGACCAAGAAAACGAGAATACAACCATAAATACTATACGAAAATAGACCACAAAGTCGGCATTTTAATTAAAAAAAAAAAAAAAAATGGTTGGAGTTTTTTTTTTCTCATTATGCACTGCGTGCTGCAGGATTTTTTTTATATGGTGCACACTGACCACACAGACCCATTCTCTCACATGTGGGCCTACCAGCTTTCTCCTGCTTGATTTGAAGCCGCTAGAATTTATGAGTATATATACGTCAAACACGGTACCTCGTAAGACGTATATATACGGCCGCGACAGTCAAAGGGTTAAATTAGAAGAAGGGGGTATGGAGAAAGTTAATGTGTTCAGATATTTGGGAGAAGATTCGTCACCAGATAGGTATATGAAAAACAAAGTGAACCATAGAAATGATGAAGCGGGAAAAAGGTGGGTGATACACCAAGACATCTGTGGAGACAAAAAACATTAACCAAGGAGGCTAATTGGGAAATGTATGAGAGTATAATGGTACCAACATTCTTATAAGGGTGTAGAGCATGGGTTGTGAATGTCGCAGCAAAGAGGAGGCTGGAGATAATGGAGCTGTCATGTCTGAGGGAAATGTGGTGTAAATATTATGCAGAGAATTCATATCTTGGAGATTAGGAGGAGGTGCGGGATTACTAAAAGTATTATACAGAGGGCTGAAGATGGGTTGTTAAGGTGGTTAGACATTTAGAGGATGAAGCAAAATAGGATGACTTGGAGGATGTATAAATCTGTAGTGGAGAGGAAGCGAGACAGAGGTCACCCTATTAAAGGTTAGAGGGGGTAAAGGAAGTTTCATGTGCGAAGGGCTTGGACATTCAGCATGCATGTGTGAGCATGTTAGATAGGAGTGGAAGCATATGGTTTTTGAGTCTTGAGCTGTTGGAGTGTAAGCAAGGTGACGTTCTGTGAAGGGATTCAGAGAAACTGGTTAGTTGGGTTTGAGTCCTGGAGGTGGGAAGTACAGTGCATGCACTCTGAAGGAGTGGTGGCGATATTTGCAGTTTGGAGGGGTATCTCAACTGTAGTATCGGCACATCTTTGGCAAGACAGTGATGGAGTTTTGGGTTACACTACCTCAGTGGGTGATGGCCTCTGTGTTAAAGTAATAATAATAATTTTCAATATTGTAGTGCAAGGTTGGTACTGCATACAGGTGTGAAAATGTCATTCTGCTAACCCAAGTTTTACCATTTAAGCCAACTCTACATCTTGTTTATATAATATTAAAATAAATAAAACCTATGAAACAACAAATTACCTGCTAACTTGAGGGCATTGGCGATCATCTCTCGACATTTGAGGCGCAGAGAATCTGTAGTTGGTGGGGCTGATGTTGGAAAACTAACAGGCTTGGAGCTTCCACTACTGCTGCTGCTGCCATTGCTATTGTTGCTACTGTTACTGTTGCTCTTGGATTCTTTTTTATCCTCTTTCTCCTTCTTTTTCTCCTCTTTTCCTTCTTTTTCATCATCGTCTTTCTTATCTAAAAACATGAAACCCTTAAAACTACAAAAGCAAACGGAGAAAAGAACAACAAATGCAGATACCTTCACTCACTAGAAACCTCTTCTTTACAGAGTGGTAAAACAAATGAATGTGATAAAATAAACTATATCAAACGCTAAAACCAGCATACTACCTGGATAAGGTTTCGGGCGGTCAATGCCCCCCCCAGCCTAGTCTGTGACCAGGCCTCATGGTGGATCAGGGCCTGATTAACCAAACTGTTACTGTTGGCCGCAGTGGAAATAAGTTCTTTACATACATTAACCCATTAACTGTATCCAGCGTACAAGTATACAGGTGATGACTGTGTCCAACAAACTAGCATGCACAATTTTTATTAGCCTCAAATATGCCACCTACCAATATTTTTATCTCAGCACAACAGTTTAGGTCTCTTTCAATCTCTTCATGCCTTAGAAAAATATCCTAGACCATACAAGGGAGGGGAGGGGAGGAGAGAGGAGAGGGGAGAGTGAAAGAGAGAGAAAGAGGGTAAAAGAGAGAAGAGAGAAAAAGGAGAGAGAAGAGAAATAGATGAGAGGAGAGAGAAAAAGAAGAGAAGAGAGAAAAAGAGAGGAGAGAAGAGAAGAGGAAGAGAGAGGAGAGAAGAGAGGAAAAAAAGAGAGAGAATCAATTATTCCTAGGATGACTTGAGCATGGAACATGTTTTTAGAGCATAATGACATCAACAAAATAACGTCAGTTGACCAAATGAAATTACTGGCCCACAGATGGCTACTTCATCCTATTCACTATTCGTATATCTCTTAACAATAAAAAGGCTTTCAAATAAGCTGATTTAGGTAACAGCTATTAGCTTGTAAATAAAATTAGGAACCCTAAACCTAACCTTGTAAAACCCTAGGTAAAAAAAAAATCAGGGTGTGTCACTGCTGATGAGATATCACAAGCTTAGATCTGCTACTGTCACTACAAACAAGTACAGGTAGTTATATACACAATATTACTTGACATACAATAGTTCCAACAATTGCACTCACACACTAATATCAGCTAAAAGGATGGTCTGAATCATAAAAAAATTGAAGATTACATTTATACAGTATATTTCAACAAATTCCTCAAAATTCAATAATAATTTTTTTTTCCAAAATCTCTTTTACTCAAAACATCATTGTCAAAGCTTGGCATGCTTTGAGAGTGTATTTATTCCATGCACAACTTAATCTATATATTCAGTATCCACCCATCATAAACCTACTTCTTGATATGATCTTTATTAATACAGTAAACTGTATTACTCACCAGGAACAAACTTTTTCCAGTTCTTTATCAGTTGTTTGGCAGTGGAAATTACTTCTTCATCAGTTGATGCCTTACGGAGTGCATTTACAGTCATGCCAATACGAGTCTTTGACAAAACCTGCAAAATTAAAAAATTATTAATACTGTACTGTACAAAATCTTTACTTGCAATCAAATTTACATTACATGGGTGTAGCTGAGAAAAATTTTCAGCCATTTCTGGCAAGTTAGATCTAAAACTAAAATATGAACAAATAAAATACAATGGTTGACTTTATGCACACTAGTCAATGTAAAGAAATTATTTACTGTACCACTTATATTACCCATTTATGACCCTAGTGCACTGCTGAAAAATTTTCAAAATTTTTCTGAATTCAGTGTCTATTTTCCATACAGACATCCTTATTACATAGTTTCGTGCATTTCATGAAGCTTGCATTGTCTAGTGGTTAAGAGTACTGGCCTGCTAGCAGGTGGCCCGGTGGCCTGGTGGCTAAAGCTCCCGCTTCACACACGGAGGGCCCGGGTTCAATTCCCGGCGGGTGGAAACATTCGACACGTTTCCTTACACCTGTTGTCCTGTTCACCTAGCAGCAAATAGGTACCTGGGTGTTAGTCGACTGGTGTGGGTCGCATCCTGGGGGACAAGATTGAGAACCCCAATGGAAATAAGTTAGACAGTCCTCGATGACGCACTGACTTTCTTGGGTTATCCTGGGTGGCTAACCCTCCGGGGTTAAAAATCCGAACGAAATCTTATCTCTTATCTTACTTGTCATGGGTTCCAGTCCTGCCCCTTCCCCGATTTTACACTCGTGTTACAATCAGAAATGTGTTCACAAACTAATACACACATGCATTGTCTATTGTAGCTTGGAGATTAGGTGAAGGTGTGGAGTTACTAAAGTATAATCCTGTGGGCTGAGGAGGGATTGTTAAAGTAGTTTGGACATTTAGAAAAGATGAAGCAAAATAGGACATCTTAGAAGGTGTATAAATCTGTAATGGACAGAAGGCAGGGTAGGGGTCATCCCAGGAATGGTTGGAGGGAAAGAGTAAAGAAGATTTTGTACACGAGGAGCTTGGACATCCAGCAGGTGCGTGTGAACGTGTTAGATAGGAGTGAGTGGAGGCAGATGGTTTTTTGGATTTGACAAGCTGTTGGAATGTGAGCAAGGTAACATTTTGTGAAGGAATTCATGGAACCCAGTTAACCAAATTTGAGTCCTGGAGGTAGGAAGTGTATACAGTGCCTGCACTATAAGCAAGTGGTGGGGATATCTGCAGTTTGGAGGGGCATCTGAACTGTAGTATCAGTATGCCTCTGGCAAGACAGTGATGAAGTGAATGATGATTGCTTTCTTTTTCAGGTCACCCTATGTCAGTGGGAGATGGCCAGTGTTAAAAAAAAATACTCATTATTCTACATTTCTTTCCAAATGCAAATACTGTAGTATCAAACAATGTTTAATCATTGTGAATGTTTATTAAACATATTAGAACAAAAATGCATAGTATACAATAAGGTATTTATTTGATCTGAATAACACTGATAGCTTGCTCACTCGAAGTGACGTTTCCAGTAATTATTATCTTGCACTTCAAAAGTGACAGGTCTATATATATAATTACAGTACAGAACTTGGTGCCACAGTATGCAGACCGCAAATGCAGATAAGTCAGAAACCCAGTGTATTATAATTGACAAGATAGGGTTTACAAATGGATGTTATTTATAACTGTAATTACCCATTCTACAGGTAGTCTGTGCACAGAGGGAACAGTTAGTCCTCAAGTTATTGGCCCCCACCCCTTATCTTTAAAATACTGATGTGAAAATACCATTATAACTGCTTCACCCCTTTACCGTTATTTTCAGTTCGTCCCACTTTTTGTACCACTGTGTTAAAGAAATTTTTCCCAATATTGTTGTGGTTCCTTGGATGTACAGTTCTCAACCATGCACTCTTTCCTTTCATTCATTGTAGAGCTTATCCATGTCTACTGTCTATGGCCTGCCTCTTTTGGAATATTATTATTATACCCTCTCCTCTTTCGTTACACCATTGACATATAGTCAAGCTCATATAAACCTCTTTCATACCTCATGTCCCCTCAACTCAGGCACAAGTTAGGATGCACCCATTTTAATGTTAAATCTCCCTACAAGTAGCACAAACTCTTAATTGGGTCCCATAATTACCCATTTTACTTATTTGTGGCTAAAGGGAGCAGGAAAGTTATTTTTCATTTTTTTTTTTAGGCAAATTCATTTCATTTTGGCATATGATCATGATGTATGTGTGATAAGCTTGTTTCTTGGCAAATCAAGCCATACCCCCGGCCGGGATTGAACCCGCGGTCATAGAGTCTCAAAACTCCAGCCCGTCTATGACCGTGGGTTCAATCCCGGCCGGGGGTATGGTTTGTTTGCAATCGTGTCATTACGATTTCTTGAGTCTTCTTGGCAAATATTAGCCAAATGTGGAATTTTCAAAGTTTTAGAATTAATCTCAATTTATTACAAGTTATACTGGGTTTGCTCTATACACTAAACTGCTCCCCAAGTCTGTCAGAAAGAGATCGGCCAGTCTGTCGTCTTCAGTACTTTGGAGAAACTGGCCGATCTCTTTCTGACAGACTTAGGAAGCACAAAAGTAGTGTAAGGCTTGCCGACACTAACATTGCTCTTTTCTGCCACGTCAGAGATCACAGCCATCCTACTGACTGGTCTTCTGCTAAAACTCTCTTCCCTACTTCCAACTTTAACAGTCGCCGTCTGGTTGAATACTCCCTTATACATAACTTTCCTTGTGTGAATCTTAGTCCTGGCTTCATCTCTGTAGATGCTTTCCTTTCCCACTACACTGTAAAATGCTCCAAACTTCAGAACACCCGTGACTTAACCTGATTCCTTTTTCTTCTCCCTCCTCTTCCCCTTTCCTCTTTCTTTTTTCTTCTTTGGGTTGTCTTTCTTCTGCTTTGGGTATCTGTTCCTTCATTATTTATTCCCCCCCTCTGTGTTCTTGCTCTTACCCTCTGTGGGCCCCTAGCTCCCTTGCAGTGCTCCTCTTTCTTAGTATTTGACTGGCTCCTCCTCCACCTACGACCTTTTACCTCCACTACTACCACTACCGCCTGCTGCCTATATATACTCCCTCCTTCTCTCCTTTTCGCTAGTGTGACTTTGTAAGTGGTCCAAGTTGGACCGAAACATCGTCGTAAGCTCCTCTCTTCTACATATGGGTTATTTGTGCAATATCAAAGATGGCTGACACAAACCCACTACCATTATAGTATGCTCCTCACTTAGCGATGAATTCGTTTAACGATGCGGTCTTAGGAACGGAACTCCATCGTTAAACGAGAGGCTGTACTATAACTAGTGAATTTTGCCCATTCCAAGGTCAGTTAAATAGAGGTCTGTTAAATCAAGGGTTTACTGTATTAAACATCAAATTCTTACCTGGAAGTTGATTGGCAGTCCTTGAAGCACCTTCAGTATATCTAGTGCCTGTGTCTGATCCTTCAACCAAAAAAAAAAAAAAATATATATATGTCAGTGTATTCTTTAAAACAATACAGTATTTCCAGTACTATACAATGCACAAGTGTAACAAGTCTCAAGAGAGGTTAAAGTAAATACACTAATACAGCTGACATTTAATTAACTCTTGTCCTGACAATAAAAATTAACCGAAAATGCAACCAGGTTAAATGATTTGGGAAACTACCACCAGTATTAGAAATGTGGTGAAAATATTTTGAGAATAGGCTGAATACATATAGATAAAGAAATACCTGGAGAGGGTTTCAAGGATCAATGCCCCCACAGCCCGGTCTGTGACTAAGCCTTGTGGTGGATCAAAGCCTGATCAACCAGGCTATTACTGTTGGCTGCATGCAAACCAATATACGAACCATAGCCTGGCTGGTCAGGTACCGACTTTAGGTGCCTGTCCAGCACCTTATTGAAGACAGCCAGGGGTCTATTTGTAATCCCCCCTTACGGGACTAGTCCTTCTAGGAATTTTCAAGTGAGAAAACCTGGCAAACTGTACTTGGTCTGCATCATTGATGGTACTCCCATACAGACAAATGTGTGATGCAACAGGCTTTATCTGCTGCAATGATAATTCTACCAGACACCCTCAAGCAACGGACACACCAAAACTTTGTCCAGCCAGATTTCTCTTTCCACCTTATCCAATATCCATTGTACAATGGTCCATTTTACAGAGGTTTTACTGTATTTAGTTAAGTTTAAAACTGATTTACACCTCTCATGATCTCTTCTATCTGTATAAAGGTACTGTATCTGATATCTGTCTGTGTTTGCTTCCCCTGTTACAATACTATACTGATTTTGGTTCCTAACCATTACAAAATTTGAAGACAGACAGTCTGAACAGTTTCTTAGCCAATTTTTCTAGCAATGGCTTAGTTTTGTATTTTACTGTCACCTTTACCATTCCTAATTTTTGCAGTTCATTCTGGCCTACAAGTTTCCTTGAACCCAGGCCCACAATAAACCTTACTATCATATTCTGGATACCTTGCAATATATTTTTGAGATTTTTTTCTTAGACCAGAATATATCATGATGTGACTTTGTAAGCTACATGTTACTTTACGAAGTCTTGCATTCCTTAGCTAGTAAGCCTGCCTGTAAAGGATTTCACCACAGTTACTCAGTGGTTTTTGCTACACAGTTCAAGGAAACCAGTTATACCTTTGATGAGTTTCAAGAGTCTCACTACTCTTGGAACATGGCCATAGGCCAGGCTCGTCTGGTGCCTGCCTGGTCAACCAGGCTGTTGCTGCTGGTTGACCAGGATATGGATTTGTGGGATATGTGGGGCCCACTGCCCCACATATCCATCACAGCCTGGTTGATCTGGCACCTGGTGAAGATACTTGTCCAATTTCCTCTTGACCAGGAGGCCTGGTCACGGACTGGGCTGCGGGGGCGTTGACCCCCGGAACTCTCTCCAGGTAAGGCTTCTACACTTGCTCCAGCCATGTTTCTGGTGTCTTCTGGTAAGACTGGCCAAAACTGAGGTCTGGTGGTGGGAAACAGAGTATACTCTGAAGGAGGGGTGGTGAGGTTGCAGTTCAGTGGGTCATTTGAATTGTTATGTTTGCATACTTCTGGCAAGAAAGTTATTGAATATTTATATTTTCATTGGGGGGGGGGGAAGGATCACTACCTTGGTGGAAAATTGATGTGGTGGAAAAAAATAATTACCTATAAGTTATACTTGTGGGGATGGCCTACAACAACAAAAAAAAGACCCTACTAGAAATAAGGCACACTACCCAACTTTCTTGGTTAAACCTACATATAATTAATATTTGTATATTCGAAAACAAACTCCAAACTCATATGGGTCATACAGTGGCAATGTACTAATTTAAGTCTAACACATCTGAATGCCCTAAGAACCACTGCACACTGTACAAATCTAAAAAAAAAAAAAGAATAGATTTTTTTTAAAGCACATCAACCCTCCAGGAAGAACAAAAAGGCACAATACACAAATAACCTGCACATGGAGAGAGAAGCTTACGACGATGTTTCAGTCTGACTTGGACCATTTACAAAGTCACACTAGTGTTAGTGACTGAAAATGGTCCAAGTTGGACTGAAACGTCTTAAGCTCCTCTCTCCTTGTGCTGGTTATTTGCATATTAACCCTCTGGAATCACTAATCTAAGTCTTCTAAAAATATAGACAAGGATACAAAAGAATAAAAAAGATTAGTTTTCAGATACCCCAATGGAAATACAAGGACTCCAATGGAAGTAAGTCACTGACTTTTTTGGAGCAGACTAAACCTAATGCTTACTAGTGATTTTGAGGAGTACATTTTCATTATACATACATCATTTTCCTTAGTACAATAGAGGTAGCTAGTCGTTTACAGTAATTAAATTTACAGTTGAGCTGAAGGGTATAAAAAATTACAGTGTTACAATTTAGCACAATTTACAATAATGAAATTTAAACAATTAGAAGTTTGAAGTAATGATTAAATAATTGAGCAATCAAATTATTTAGGAGTTTTTGAGTAGCTGGTAGGTGTAGTGTTTGTCTGGTTAATTTTGGGTGATGGTGATTTCTAAGTAGGGCCTTAAACTGATTTGCAGACAGGGGCTCTTTAGTGTGTTCTGGTAATGCATAGCATTTTTTCATAGGGAGAGATGGACATAAGGGATATCAAAGTCTGTTTTGTGCCTTGTGTTATGCCTATGTGTTCTGAAGTTGTCAAGGAGTTTGAGAGGAGGGTTAATACAGCTATAAGTTCAGGAAGAATAAGTGCTGTAAAGATACAAGAAAGTTGATCTTCTGTGACAATGTTATGTAGTAAAAACTACAACCAATTAAAAAAAAAAATTGCAGATCATATACCAAAGAAACACCTAGTGTCAATTATTATTATTATTATTATAAACAAGGGGGAAGCGCTAAACCCAGAGGATTATACAGCACCTGGGGGGGATGTGGAAGGCATTCAGGCTTAATTCGGGGAACTGGAGCATAGATCCAATTCCCTAAATCAAGAGCCCCTCACCAACATCAAGGAACCTTCCTTGAGGGGACCTAGTGTCAAGCTTGGCTATTTTAGCTAGTAGTAGTTTATTACAAATACATAGTGTAAGTTTTTTTTTTAAACATTTTATATTATCTTCAATATTATGATAGTACACTGAATAATATTTATACAGTATGCACAGTACTTAATTAGGATAATGAAAGAGAACCCTAGTAAAAATAAATAATACTTTTTGGCTATGGTGGTTAATCCTGGGTTAATTATTCACGCTTTATTGCATACCTCTAATAATCCTGTGTTAATACCTGTATTTTTAACTAAAGAAAAGCTTATATTGTTTAAAGTACGAATATCATATATAGTATATTACAAATGACAAAGGTAGATGAAGAGGAGAGATTCAGGGCACGCCTGTATGAAATAAAGTATCTGAAAATGAAACAAATGTCACCCAGTGTCAAAAATAAGTGTGATCAAATTTGGGAAAAATTATCACTGATAAAGGTGAAGATCCCATTGCCACCTAGAATGAATGGTTATATTAAAAACAAGTGTCTGCCGTTTATTTATGTACACTAGTAAGCATGTGTGACTTGTTAAATACAAGAAACTATCAAGCTACCCTGGAAATAATAATGACATAAGTGTTTCTTCTTTGTTAGGTGTATTTGTGGCATGATGGACGAGTGTTGCTGTGAAGTTGATGGTGTATGTTACTAGAGAGTGTGCTAGTAATAGCTAAAAGTCCTGGAGTGTGTGAGGGAGGTGTATACAAGGTGAATGAGCAGTGTGTTAGAGGCCTGACAGAGGTGAGAGAGGAGTGGAGGTAAGCGGGGACACAGTGGCTGCAGCAGCAGCCACTAACACTCCACAAGTGAGCCCCCACCAAACACTTATTTTCTTCACCCACTAACTTATCCTGTGTCACTCACGCCATCACTCGACGTCATCTTATCCAGCTTCTTCTTAATCTTGAGCACTTCCTCCTCGCAGCCCATGACTGACCAGGGGTGAGGCTGAGGATGTAGAATTTCAGTCAGGAAAAGGCAGGTTTAGCAGCGTAATGCTTCTGGAAGCAGACGCCGGCGAGGACTGTCGTGGCTGGCGGCGCCTCCAACTCCACCCCCACACATCACACTATATATATTAACATACCCTAACACATAAATACTTAAAACCATCCTGAGTAATGGGTCTTAAGACATAATCATAGTTATCTCTTGTTGTGACCTTGTACAATGTCACAGATCAGGGTAGCCGCACAGTGCGGTTGTACTCTATCTAATTTTGATAAAAAATGATGAGTGGGATTAGTAAATATTACAATACACATGAGACAGAGACAAATTCACTTTGCTTATTTATTTTTATAACACGGCATATCTTATATGTGAATATTCAATTGGCCTCTTCAATCCTTACAAAAAACAGAATGTTTCTTAATAACCTGCCTTCTAATCAAAACTTGGATTTTTTTCAAACATATTCCTATATTCCTTTAAAAATCTCATGCAAATAATTCATATTTTAACATATATATATATATATTATATATATATATATATATATATATATATATATATATATATATATATATATATATATATATATATATATATATATATATATATATATATATAATATATATATATATATATATATATATTATATATATATATATATATATATAATGTCATACAAATCCAACTGTGTAGAAGTGAAATATTCAAATAACTTCAAGGAAAAATTCAATTTTTTTTAAGCTTCTCCGAGGCTATGGGTTCCTACAATTTGCACTAGAGGTGGACTCCCCTTTATATATTACTCATATACAGTGGAACCCCCGCATAACGATCACCTCCAAATGCGACCAATTATGTAAGTGTATTTATGTAAGTGAGTTTGTAGTGTAGTTTGGGGGTCTGAATGGATAATCTATTCACAATATTCCTGTATGGGCAACAAATTCACGTCAGTATGGCACTGGAACTCACCTTTGAGTGAAAAAATATGTTAACGGTCCACTGTATTTTTCTAGCGTGCGAATTGTTAAAATAATCATAATGTACGTCTCCTCCGCTTTCCTATGTGATACTTGGCTACACAGTGGTAAAACAATTATCATTATAATAATGGTATACAAAGTGACAAGCAGAAGAAACATGTGTAGCATTTCAATATTTACCAGTACATATCGTTATTTCTGAAACGTTTCGCCCGCACAGGAGGCTTCTTGGTATTGTTTACTGTATTCACACTTCTTCACATTGTTCACGACTATGGAGCCAAGCTTTCCTTCAAGCTAGTTATGAGGCTGACCTCAACTTCTAGGCTGATGGATTGCTTCCTTACATCTGTTCATCAGTGCGTCTACTGGCTCCATATTAACTCACCTCTATATTTCAGTGAAAAAGCCTATTGTGCAGGCGAAACATTTCGGAAATAAAGATACCCAACTGTTGCACACGTCTCGCTCATCTTCAGTATAAACAATGTTAAAGGAATGGTAATTATTTATAAGATGACATTTTTTATGGATTCATTTTTGGGCAACCTTCCTGTGGTGAGGAAGGGGGGGGGGTCTTTATATTGGCTTTTCATCCAAGGAATTAGAGGTACACTCATCTTCCCTAAATTAAACCTTGTTACCTCCTTTTCCCCCCCAAGCCCTGTATAACCCCTACGGGTTTAGAGCTCCTCCGTGAATGTAACAGTGCTGCCACACTGCGCGGTTGGATGGGGTTTTAAATAATCTTTATATGTTACACAAATAACCCGCACATAAAAGAGAAGTCTACGACGACGTTTCGGTCCGACTTGGACCATTTACAAAGTCCAAGTCGGACCGAAACGTCGTCGTAAGCTTCTCTTTTATGTGCGGGTTATTTGTGTATCGTTCCAGTCACGGTATTGTGCCTTTTTTTTTTGTTATCTTTATATGTTAAGAATACAATGGCTGTGCTATGTATGTGGAAGTTTTATAATAGCATCTCTACTTCCATATTTATACATCATAAGTTCACTTTATATTTATGAGTTATCACTTGTGAGTTTTAGAGGAAGTTTTGCGCATTATTTATACCATCAGGTATATGTTTTTGTATGAGTAATTCACACAAGTGTCATACAGCAGGTTTAAAAGTCTTCATTGTTGGTCTTTTTCCTGGGATATGACATAATGATAATGTTTTATTTCTCTGAGCTTTACAAATAATACAGATACATGGGTAGCTGCAGGAATAAAAGACTAGGCACGATGCTTAACATGAATATTATTTATTAATTTGATACACAGTATTGTCCTGATACTTTATTTAGATCTACCAACTGAATACTTCTGCGTGATTTTTTTTCTTATGCCATAACATTTTTACCAATTGTTATAATATGAGAGGTAGTCATAACATTACAGAGACACACAGTGAGCTGGCTATAATTGTAAGTTGTTAATACAGACATGAATTCAGGCATTAAGGTGTAGTTATGAGGTTCTGAATTATTTATAACATTATAGCCGGGTTTGGTTGGATTTAGATAAGGTTAAATGGATCCCAGTGGAATTCAAGGATCCCAATGGAAGTTAGTCACTGTTTTGGGTAATTATTGGAAATTTACGCATATGTTACAAGGTATGATAATTGTACTTACGTAAACATGTACATAAATAAACTTATTGTGTTGTCTATGGTATTTTGTAAGTTGTTAGTTAATGATAAAATAGAGAATCGAAGGAAGTGAGGACCTTAATGAAAAAAAATCAAGTTGTTGAATTTTGCTGGTTTATCCTAGGTTATGTCTCTATATATGCCCATAACACCTGTGTGCCTTCAAGACCACTGTAAAACAAAACAAAAAAATGTGTAAGCCGAAATAATATTACATATAATACATTATGTGTGTGTGTGCCCTTAAGACCATAATATATCGTATGTGAAGATGTATAAAAACTTCATAATTGAAAGTCAAATCATCAAGGACTTTAATGGAAATAAAATATTGTTTGAATTTATTGGCTTATCCTAAGCTAAATTATGCATAATTTATTATATAAATCAGTTGTTAAGTTTCAAATTATATATAAGGACTAAATCTAAACTTATTTACCCTGTGGCTGGATTTTTTTATGGGTGGTGAGGGGGGGGGGTTACCAGGGTGTGAATGGGAGGGGGGTAATGAGGTATAGAGAAGAGGGTAATGGGGTTTAGGGGAGAGATGGGGAATAATGGTTGGGGGATCCTGGGGAGGGATGTAGTGAGAAGCAACAACAAGAGGAGGTTGGTGGGTGCCTGGGAGGGAGGACAGCAGTGGTTGTAGGTGAGCAGCTGAACACACATACATTCACACTCCCAGCATCATGGCGGAAGCTAACAGCACACAGGAGGAAGGTGAGGAGGCAGGGATCTCCATGGTGGAGGTGCTGAAGGAGGAACAGGAGAGGGAGATGGACGCCGCTGCTGTGCTGGGTGCTGGTGATGACACCACCTGCACATATGACCAGGTAACACACCCATCATCTGCTTTACTGAATAACCTCATTACCCAAGTATTTTTGAATGATAGACGGTTATTGGGCCCTTATATGATAGATGGTGATTTGAATGTAATATATATAGGCATTGGGATATGGTAGGCTTTTAATGATAAGATATTACAAGGACCCCAATGGAAATAAATGATTTTCTCTTGACTTTTTTTTTGCGGTTATTTTAGATAATTTACACATGTTACTAGGTATGATAATTATACTTGTGTACCTGTACCAAAATAAACTTACTAATGGTCATTTTTTTTTTTTTTTAGCTCTGATCCCCTCCCCATTTTGAATGACAGACTTTAATCAATTGTTATGATATGGAACGAACTTTCAAATAGTATAAATAATTTATAAGTAACTTTTGAGCCTAAATTGCATCAATTTTCTAAATGACAGTTAATGCATGAAATTGTCTAACAAGTTTTGAACATAAATGCTGAATTTTTTGTGTATTTTTTTTCTTTTAATGTCCTGTTTCCTGATAAACTTTACTCAATAACTTGATAGAAAGGATGGATTTGCAACACTTGGGTCTCTCTGTTCTTCAAATATTTTGCCTAAACAGCAGCCTTTTTTAGTCAGATGCAGGTGACAAAGTACTGCTTATTTATTTATTTATTATTATTTGGACATGATACATAGTTGTACAAAAGAAATGCAGAGTTATGTAGCAAATTATGTAGCAAATTTCACTGCATAGATCTACTGGCCCATGCTAGGTAGGTCTTTCTTAAATGCTTCCTTTCTTGCTTACATAATTATCTAACCTGTTTTTTTTTTTTAAGCTACCCAAAGTTTTAGCTTCAAAAATCCTACTTGGCAAATGATTCCATTCTTTCTAAAACTGTGTCCTTTTTCAATTTAAGTTGATCTAATTTGAACTCATTATTTTCAGCTTTTTCTTGATTAAATTACCTCTTTACCCTTTCAACACCTTCATTCATGTCTGTCTTCAACTTGTATACTTCTGTCGTATCTAATCATTCTATATCTTTCACAGGAAAGGTTGGGATGACAGCTTAGTCAGGCAGTTAGTGCTCGGTGCACAGTTCAGTGTAAACACCAAGCATGATAGATCAAAAACTTATTCTAGGTTTAGATATAAGTACAGTAGTAAGTAAGCCTTAATTAGTAGGTTTCTTCTGAGCTTTATATTGGATCATATATCTGTAGAATAAGACCAAATTTAACATGTACCTGCGTGCGTACGTATATATATATATATATATATATATATATATATATATATATATATATATATATATATATATATATATATATATATATATATTATGTGGTTTAGAAAAACACGTAAGCAAACACTATAACATATTTATTAGAAAACGTTTCGGTCCTGGGACCTTGATCACTTCTAACATACAGAGGTAGAAAGACATTATATATATAGGCGGAGAGTGAGATGTGATGTAGGCGGAGAGTGAGATGTGACGCACGTGATCTGAGGAATGTCATAAGAACATAAGAATGGAGGAACACTGTAGAAGGCCTACTGGCCCATGCGAGGCAGGTCCTTATCAAAACAACCTCTGCCTATGATGAGGACGGGTAGACGATGAAATCATGTGACTCCTGTGTTGTTGGGTTGGTGCTGCTTAAGTATCATGTATGCCAATGTTTTTGAAATTTTGTAGTTTCCAGTGTTGCGTTCTATAGTGTCGGTGACGGCGATTAGTGAGGCTTCTAGGCACCGTCGGCGTCTGAGGTCTGGTTTGGTGAGAACGAGTTGTGCCTCGTTCCAGTTCATCAAATGCCCCGTGGAGTCTCTGTGGAGGACACAGGCGTACCTTACATCGTCTCTGTTAGAGGCATTTCGATGCTCATTCAGGCGGACTGCAAGATCTCTGCCTGTCTCGCCTACATATTTCTTGGGACAGAACCCACAGGGGATAGTGTAGACGCCTGCTGTAGAAGTTAGAGGTGTGGGGCTGCGTTTCAAAGACCTCGCTACGAAACGCAGCCCCACACCTCTAACTTCTACAGCAGGCGTCTACACTATCCCCTGTGGGTTCTGTCCCAAGAAATATGTAGGCGAGACAGGCGGAGATCTTGCAGTCCACCTGAATGAGCATCGAAATACCTCTAACAGAGACGATGTAAGGTACGCCTGTGTCCTCCACAGAGACTCCACAGGGCATTTGATGAACTGGAATGAGGCACAACTCGTTCTCACAGAACCAGACCTCAGACGCCGACGGTGCCTAGAAGCCTCACTAATCGCCGTCACCGACACTATAGAACGCAACACTGGAAACTACAAAATTTCAAAAACATTGGCATACATGATACTTAAGCAGCACCAACCCAACAACACAGGAGTCACATGATTTCATCGTCTACCCATCCTCATCATAGGCAGAGGTTGTTTTGATAAGGACCTGCCTCGCATGGGCCAGTAGGCCTTCTACAGTGTTCCTCCATTCTTATGTTCTTATGACATTCCTCAGGTCACGTGCGTCACATCTCACTCTCCGCCTATACATGTATATATAATGTCTTTCTACCTCTGTATGTTAGAAGTGATCAAGGTCCCAGGACCGAAACGTTTTCTAATAAATATGTTATAGTGTTTGCTTACGTGTCTTTCTAAACCATATGTATATATATATACGTATATATAATATATATATATATATATATTATTTATATATATACAGTGGACCCCTGGTTAACGATATTTTTTCACTCCAGAAGTATGTTCAGGTGCCAGTACTGACCGAATTTGTTCCCATAAGGAATATTGTGATGTAGATTAGTCCATTTCAGACCCCCAAACATACACGTACAAACGCACTTACATAAATACACTTACATAATTGGTCGCATTCGGAGGTCATCTTTATGCGGGGGCCCACTGTATATATATATATATATATATATATATATATATATATATATATATATATATATATATATATATATATATATATATATACAGTGGACCCCCGGTTAACGAACTTTTTTCATTCCAGTAGTATGTTCAGGTGCCAGTACTGACCGAATTTTTTCCCATAAGGAATATTGTGAAGTAGATTAGTCCATTTCAGACCCCCAAACATACACGTACAAACACACTTACATAAATACACTTACATAATTGGTCGCATTTGGAGGTGATCGTTAAGCGGGGGTCCACTGTGTATATATATATATATATATATATATATATATATATATATATATTATATATATATATATATATATATATTATATATATATATATATATATATATATATATATATATATATATACATATATATATATATATATATACATATATATATATATATATATATATATATATATATATATATACATACATACATACATACATACACAGCCTCTCCTCGCTTAATGACGGAGTTCGTTCCTAAGACCACGTCGTTAAATGAATTCATCTAAGTGAGGAGCATACTATAATGGTAGCAGGTTTGTGTCAACCATCTTTGATATTGTTTCAGTGTCACCTTTGCACCATTTATAACATTTCTGGTATATTTTTAAATGTTTATACAGTAGTGTACTGTATATTGAAATAAACAGAGTTGTGGAAATCAACTTCGATATACAGTAGTATCCCGAGTTTTGGCCATTATTTGTTTCAGAAGCCTGTTCGAGTGCCGTTACCGAACGAATTTGTTCTCACAAGGAATACTAATGTAAATTAGATTAGTCCGTTTCAGACCCCCTAAAACACACTTACAAAAGCACTTGCAATAATACACTTAAATAATTGTTCGAGCTGGGAGTCCATCGTAAGTCCGAGGCTTCGGTAAACTAGTACATCGCTAAGTGAGGAGACGCTGTATTTTGTTTTTGGCACCAAAACCGGGAAGTAGTGAAGCCTCAGTTTTGTGAGGCAGTTTTTTGATCAAACTTGCTTTGGTGCCTACTTTGAACTGTTCATTGAGCACTAATTGCCTGACTAAGTTGTCAAGCAAGTAACCTGCACATTGCAGTACAATATTGTATGTGAAAAAGTTTATACATTTTTGACCTGGTTACTAACACTGGAAAACTGGCTTTGCTGGATTTTGTGAGAACTTTTCATGAGTTATGCTTCCACAAGGGATCAAAATCAGCTGTTAAGTGTTAAGTTAACATAGGCTTACCATATTTCAGTTTTCCAAATTTAAAAATAAGGTTTAATTTTTTCTAGACATACTACTACTCATCACATTTTACCATATTTCCAGGGATATGTCAAACGACAAGCATTGTATGCCTGCATGACTTGCTGTCCTGCAGATAATGGCAGGTTAGCTGCTGTGTGCTTAGCTTGCAGCTATCACTGTCATGAAGACCATGACCTTATTGAGCTTTACACTAAAAGGTGAGGTTAGGCAAGCAAAGCCCATTACTATTGTTTCACCAGTATTTCATTTTTTCATAATGATACCTTTACAGTGGTGCTCCACCACTATTTTTATATAATATTGAATTTTGTATAATATTCAGTTACTGTTTAACTGTCTTATATAGTAATTGTTTAAGACGTAACATATATATGTGTAATATGTATAGAGTAGAACCTCGGTTTTCATATGCCCTAGCTTTTATGTAAAACTATAGTTATTCTCTATAAAATGTATTTTTTGTTTTTTAATACTTGACGTGCTGTTGGAGTGTGAGCAAAGTAACATTTATGAAGGGATTCAGGGAAACCGGCAGGCCGGACTTGAGTCCTGGAGATGGGAAGTACAGTGCCTGCACTCTGAAGGAGGGGTGTTAATGTTGCAGTTTAAAAACTGTAGTGTAAAGCACCCTTCTGGCAAGACAGTGATGGAGTGAATGATGGTGAAAGTTTTTCTTTTTTGAGCCACCCTGCCTTGGTGGGAATCGGCCAGTGTGATAATAAAAAAAAAATAATAATAATTTTTGGGTGTCTGGAATGGATTACACCTACCATCCGACTTACGACCTGCTTGACGTATGACCACTCGACTTACGACCATGTTTTTTATGCCAGATTTCTGGGAAATAAACAACTATTTGTGTTGTACACAGTGTTTATCCTAAACCTTACAGTATAAATTACAGTACTAATACTGTAAAAAGTAAAGTAAGAAATGAGATGCCAAAATAAAACAATAAAATAAAATCATTACAGAAGTGTGATGTTGATATTAAGTAGTAAGGTTTGACTTACGTCCATTTTGACTTACGACCGGTTGGTCGGAACCAAGCTTGGTCGTAAGTCCAATGGTACCTGTAATTGGATTTACATTATTTCTTATGGGAAATATTAACAAAAAGTACGTTTTATAGAGAATAACTATAGCTTTACATGCAAACTAAGGCATATGAAAACCGAGGTTCCACTTTACATATTTTCGTCTTTCAACAAACCTGTCATATCCCACCAAGTAGGGTGGCCCAAAAAGAAAAATGAGTTTCTCCTTTTAAATTTAGTAATACATACAGGACAAAGGATTACTAGCCCCTTGCTCCGGCATTTTAGTCTCCTCTTACGACACGCATGGCTTATTTTTTATTATTATTCACACTGGCCAATTCCCACCAAGGCAGGGTGACCCGAAAAAGAAAAACTTTCACCATCATTCACTCCATCACTGTCTTGCCAGAAGGGTGCTTTACACTACAGTTTTTAAACTGCGACATTAACACCCCTCCTTCAGAGTGCAGGCACTGTACTTCCCATCTCCAGGACTCAAGTCTGGCCTGCCGGTTTCCCTGAACCCCTTCATAAATGTTACTTTGCTCACACTCCAACAGCACGTCAAGTATTTAAAACCATTTGTCTCCATTCACTCCTATCAAACACGCTCACGCATGCCTGCTGTAAGTCCAAGCCCCTTGCACACAAAACCTCCTTATGTAGGAAGATTACTGTTCCACTTCCCCATGGAGATAAGCAGAAATAAACAAGAACAATAACTAGTAAGAAAATAGAAGAAAACCCAGAGGGGTATGTATACTATATATGCTTGTATATGCACGTGTAGTGTGACCCAAGTGTAAGTAGAAGTAGCAAGACATACTTGAAATCTTGCATGTGTATGAGACAGAAGAAGGACACCAGCAATTCTACCATCATGTAACACAATTTCAGGCTTCCATTTCATACTTAGCAGGACGGTATTACCTCCCTGGGCGGTTGCTGTCCAGGGAGGTACTACCGTCCTGCCAAGCGAGTGTGAAACGGAAGCCTGCAATTGTTTTACATGATTGTAGGATTGCTGGTGTCTTTTCTGTCCCATAAACATGCAAGATTTCAGGTACATCTTGTTACTTACACTTAGGTCACACTGCACATGCATATACAAGCATATATATGCACTCACCCATCTGGGTTTTCATCTGTTTCCTTACTGGTTCTTGTTCTTGTTTATTTCCACTTATTTCCATGAGGAAGTGGAACAGAATTTTTTCTCCATAAGCCATGTGTGTCGTAAGAGGCGACTAAAATGCCGGAGGAAGGGGCTAGTAACTCCTTCTCCTGTGTATTTTACTAAATTTAAAAGAAGAAACTTTCTTTTTGCTTTTGGGCCACCCTGCCTTGGTGGGATACAGCCAGTTTGTTGAAAGAAGAAGATATATATTAAGTGGAAATTGCAGTTTGTATTTTACTGGAGAAGTTTTAGAGCTTCTTGTTTTTTAGAATGTGAATTATGGATTTTGAAAAAGAGGAAGGGTGATGTATTAGTCTCATACTATATCCCAATAAATGCTTAACAATAAAATAGAAAATTTGGAATTTTGAGCAGTTCCTAAGAAATGCAGTACAATATTTTAACTATGTAAAGAAAATTTGAGAAGCTTTTTTTTAATTTTGGAATGCATCAAATATTGTACGTACTTAACCTCTGAAATCACATTACCATAAGTATATTTTCTTCTATACTTCTGTTAACCTCTGAAATCTCATTACCATAAGTATATTTTCTTCTATGCTACTGTCTTATGAACTGCTTAGGACTAATGGCTTTTATTTTTTCTCAGGAATTTTCGCTGTGATTGTGGCAACTCCAAGTTTCCTCAGAATGCCTGCAAACTTTTGAAGGTTTGTTCACTTATTGGTGCAATATGCAGTCACTTAAACAAATTGCAATGATTGTAGTTATGTATTACTGTATTAACTCTCGGGATTAGGGTGGGCAGAATTTGTAAATTTGTCATTACTATTTTAATATTGTAATATAGGTTATATAAGAAAAATGTAAGGATGCACTTAAGAAATGCAGAGTTAACTTGGAATGATAAAAATTCATGAATTTGTGAATAAGTAGGCTTAGGCTAATATTTACAGCTAGAAATTTTGAGCATAAAGGTAAAACTGTTTATATGGTAATTAGATCTAGTACATTGTAGTATAGGTTTTTATTTTGCTTTATGCAAATTCTCTAATATGCAGTGTTCTATGCCTAGCAATGATTCTTTATTTGCACATACTTTAAGTTTGCCAACTGCATTGCGATCAGTGCAGTTGGTAAAATGAGCTTGAAAAAATGCAAGTCATAGCTTCTTAGGACATTTATTGAAGTACATGCAATCACTGAAACATAAGATTCTTATGTGAGAGTAAGTGTATATGGCATGACTGAGCTTGGTTCAGCTGTCATGGGCATAGAATGAATCTACTACATAAAACAAAGGATACTTGCACTGAGTAAGAAGTTTATGTAAGTTACACAATCGGGGATTTTAAGTATGATATATAAAGCAAGAATATTGTTGAAGGATAATTATATTTGGGGATTGAGAACATTGGTAGTAGGTTGGTAGATGGCAGGTACCCAGGGAGGCACTTCTGTCTTGTCATATACCGTAAGTAAAAGCTGTAGCTGTCAAATATTTAGCTTTTCTCTGTCTCTCTGTCTCTGTCTGTCTGTCTCTCTGTCTGTCTCTCTCTCTGCCCCTCTTTTTTTTACACAGGGTTTGACAAGGTTAAGGATCCCTAGCTTTATTGACAAGCTAAGAGCTATTACCTACATCAGCTCATTTGAAAGCATTTTTATTGTTATGAGACATACAAGTAGGGAACAGGATGAAGTTGGAGCCATCTGTGGGCCAGCATTTTCATTTGATCAACTGACTTTATCTCGTTGACATCATTATGCTGTACGAATGTGTTCCATACTCGAGTCATCCTGGGTATATAGGATCTCAGATGGAGTGAAGTTCTGGAGAAGGGTACAGCCAGAGTGAAGTTGCTGCTTTCTGCCCGTCTTGTGGCATGAAAGCTTGTTTCACGCTGTCCTCGAAGTGGATCCAAGTGTGGTACTTTGACAATATTGGCCTTGTACATAACAGTAAGGCCACCCACATCCCTCCTATGTTGAAGGCTCTGCTGAAATGACAGATCTATCCAGGATGGGTCCAGGCGAGAGATGAGACGTCTTGCTCTGTTCTCTACTCTGTCAATCAGTCGCAGATGAGAGGGGGGCAGGCAAACCAATAAAGTGGAGCATACTCAAGGTGCGAGCGTACTTGTGCCTCGTACAGAATCTTGCAACCCCTACTGTCAAGTAGATGCGAGATACGGCGAAGTGCTGTAAGCTTTCTGGCTGCCTTGTTTGCAAGATTTACAACATGGTTCTTCATGGTTAGTTTGGAGTTATATTTCACCCCAAGGATATCAACTTCTTCTCCAGGTGCCAACACCCTCCCATTCATCCTTACTACAGCACCAGCATTACCATCATGGTGCCTAGAGACTATCATCATTTGCATTTTCTCAGGTGCAAATGTTACCTGCCATCTATTTCCCCAAGCTGATATAGCTCTCAGCTGGTGATTGATGTAGCTTAGAGCAGCTGGCATTTCTTCTCTTAGATAAGTGAATGTCAGTGTGCAGTCGTCTGCATATGCATGTGATTCTGGGATGAGATGAAGAAGGTTGTTAAAGTAGACATTCCATAACAGTGGACCCAACACGCTTCCTTGTGGAACGCTTGCCCCAATAGGATGTCTTGCTGATTCCATTCCATTGAGGACTACACTTAGAGGTCTACCATGAAGGTAATCACTGAGGAGACATAGCATAGAGCCTGCAATTCCCAGTGCTTGAAGTTTTGCTAAGAGGCCCTGGTGCCACACCCGGTCGAAAGCGCCAGCAATGTCTCTCTCTCTGTCTCTCTCTCTCTCTGTCTCTCTCTCTCTCTGTCTCTCTCTCTCTCTGTCTCTCTCTCTCTGTCTCTCTCTCTCTGTCTCTCTCTCTCTCTGTCTCTCTCTCTCTGTCTCTCTCTCTCTGTCTCTCTCTCTCTGTCCTCTCTCTCTCTGTCTCTCTCTCTGTCTCTCTCTCTGTCTCCTCTCTCTGTCTCTCTCTCTCTCTGTCTCTCTCTCTGTCTCTCTCTCTCTCTCTGTCTCTCTCTCTCTCTGTCTCTCTCTCTCTGTCTCTCTCTCTCTGTCTCTCTCTCTCTGTCTCTCTCTCTCTGTCTCTCTCTCTCTGTCTCTCTCTCTCTGTCTCTCTCTGTCTCTCCTCCTCTCTCTCTCTCTCTCTGTCTCTCTCTGTCTCTCTCTGTCTCTCTCTGTCTCGTCTCTCTCTGTCTCTGTCTCTCTCTGTCTCTGTCTCCTCTCTGTCTCTGTCTCTCTCTGTCTCTCTCTCTCTGTCTCTCTCTGTCTCTCTCTCTGTCTCTCTCTCTGTCTCTCTCTCTGTCTCTCTCTCTGTCTCTCTCTCTCTGTCTCTCTCTCTGCTCTCTCTCTCTCTCTCTCTCTCTCTCTCTCTCTCTCTCTCTCTCTCTTCTCTCTCTCTCCTCTCTCTCTCTCTCTCTGTCTCTCTCTGTGTCTCTCTCTCTGTCTCTCTCTCTCTGTCTCTCTGTCCTCTCTCTCCTCTCTGTCTCTCCTTCTCTGTCTCTCTCTGTTCTCTCTCTCTGTCTCTCTTCTCTCTCTCTGTCCTCTCTCTGTCTCTCTTCTCTCTGTCTCTGCTCTCTCTCTCTGTCTCTCTCTCTCTTGTCTCTCTCTCTCTGCTCTCTCTCTTCTCGCTCTCTGTCTCTCTCTCTCTGTCTCTCCTCTCTCTTCTCTCTCTCTCTCTCTCCTTCTCTCTCTCTCTCTCTCTCTCTCTTCTCTCTTCTCTCTCTCTCTCTCTCTCTCTTCTCTCTTCTCTCTTCTCTCTCGTCTCTCTCTCTCTCTGTCTCTCTCTCTGTCTTCTCTCTCTTCTCTCTGTCTCTCTCTCTGTCTCTCTCTCTCTCGTCTCTCTTCTCTCTCTCTGTCTCTCTCTCTCTCTGTTCTCTCTCTCTCTCTCTGTCTCTCTCTCTGTCTCTCTCTCTCTGTCTCTCTCTCTCTGTCTCTCTCTCTGTCTCTCTCTCTCGTCTCTCTGTCTCTCTCTCTCTGTCTCTCTCTCTCTCTGTCGTCTCTCTCTCTTCTGTCTCTCTCCTCGTCTGTCTCTCTGTCTCTCTCTCTCTCTGTCTCTCTCTCTTCTCTCTGTCTCTCTCCTGTCGTCTCTCTCTCTCTGTCTGTCTCTCTCTCTCTCCTCTCTCTCTCTCTCTCTCTCTCTGTCTCTCTCTCTCTCTCTTCTCTCTCTCTCTCTCTCTCTCTCTCTCTCCTCTCCTCCACACACACACACACACACACACACACACTATGACAGGTAAATCTGCATGCTGCTTACACTCATTATACATTTACTTTATTTTCATGTACATTCTTTAATAGCTTTGAGTACTGTAATATTTATAAGACCAAGTTTGAGACTGGACTATGGGAGGTAATGAGCCGTGAAACCGTACAGCACCATGTTTAATTCAGAAATGTATGATTCAGCTGATTGTGGAAGGCTGCTGGGATACATCAGTGATAAAAAAAATATCTAAAATGATAGAATTTTTTCTAAAGGTAATAACACTAAAAATACAAAACTTTATGTAAAATGTTCGGAATTATGCAGGTGTGAGTTGAGGGATGGTGAAAAGATTAAATCTGTTGGGTATGTATTAAGTGGCTCAGGTGAGACATAATTATGCAGCTCAATCTAACCAATTTCGATACCTAGGACTACATATTGGGCACATGATTTGTCACTCTAACTCAATGGGCACTTGATTGCCTGTCTTAAGTATTTTGGAGATAAAACAGGTCACCCTCCAGATAGAGGATTAAAAAAATTTGAGAAAATTTAAGAAAAATAAAGCATAAAAACATGCTGAATAGACACCTGCTGCTCATTCATACTATTTCAGTCATAAATTTTGTGGAAACTAAATGAAAAAATTCCACATTTCTTTAACTCCTTGACTGTCGCAACCCCAAATCCTGAGGTGTCTCCTGGTGTTGCAAAATTTAAAAAAAAAAAAAAAAAAAAAAAATCTTATGAAATGATAGAGAATCTTTTCCCGATTGTAATGACACCAAAAGAATGAAATTTGATGGAAAACTGACGGAATTACACTCTCGCGAAGTTAGTGACCTCGGCGATATTTACGAATCAGCGATTTCGCCCACTTTGAGCCCTATTTTCGGTTAATTCCATTGGTCCAGTCAACCAAACTCATAGCTATTTCTTTAGAACTCAATTTTTTCTATTGATTGATTACAAGAAACTGCCAGTTTACCGATTTCAACTACCCAATAATGTGGTCAGAAATTGGCAATTTGGCCAATGTCACGAAAATTAAAAAATATGACAATTTCAAAATAGGGTCCAGAATGAACAGTGCAGACCTTCCTGGCTCTAAAATAACATTTTGTTTGTTCATCAGTCATATCTCCAGGCCCCTCTGATATTACTCTTGCTTTCTATTTTGAATTTTTATTCAAACAAAATATAGAAGATTTACTGTTATGCAGACTACTGCAGTATTGTAATAATTGCATAAATAATGTCAACCCAGTCATGACTGCGTATTAGAATGGCTACTTGTACATTTATTGGAAAAGTGGCATCATTTGTTTACTTTTGAACATCGGCAAAAATCAAACATTTCCCCTATTTTGAGCTCCATTTCAAGGTTCTTTTCATAGTAAAACCAGTTAAAATCACCTCTATTTCTATAATATGTTTTCCGCTCTATCAAATGAGACCAAGAAAACAAGAATACAACCATAAATACTATACAAAAATAGACCACAAAGTCGGCATTTTAATTAGAAAAGAACGGTCAGAGTTTTTTTTTTTTTCATTATGCACTGCGTGTTGCAGGATTTTTTTTATATGGTGCACACTGACCACACAGACCCATTCTCTCACACGTGGGCCTACCAGCTTTCTCCTGCTTGATTTGAAGTTGTTAGAATTTATGAGTATATACACGTCAAAAACGGTGGCTCGTAAGACGTATGTATACGACCAAAACAGTCAAAGGGTTAAATATCACTAATTTTGTAATTACTGCATTAACAAAAATTTAACCCTTGGAAATAATTTTCTGTAATTCAGCAGGGAAATTCCCTGCAGAAGTGTGGTCAGCAAAATTCCCTGCAGCAGTGTGGTCAGCAGAAGCACTTTCAACTGAAAACTTAATGTTATACAACTGACTGTGCAATTTGAACTTGTAAAACTATCCTGTACTAAACAAGTAATTTTTTTTTCATGCAATCCTTTTTCATCACACACTACCACTTTCAACAAATCAGTCATATCTCACCAAGGCAGGGTGGCCCAAAAAGAAAAACAAAAGTTCTTCTTTTTAAATTTGGTAATATATACAGGAGAAAGGGTTGCTAGCCCCTTACTCCTGGCATTTTAGTCGCATCGTATGACATGTATGGCTTGCAGAAGAAGAATCATCACACTTATTACTGTAAATTCTTTTTCCCTTATTAAGATGAAATTAAGTGGTGCACCTTTCTGATTTTTTTTTTTTCTGAATCCACTCGCTCGACTACTTTTTTGTTTTAGCTGTTCTGGCCTATGTCATTCTTTTCAGAAGTTCTCAACCTGGGTTAATCATTGCACAAGCTCTTATCTTCGCCTCATTCTTCTTAATCGTATGAATTGATGCCGCATTCAGGCCATAGGCTCTTGCTGTCTCCATCACACGTGCACCACTCTTAAGCTTATCTCGTATCTTAGTTTTATTCGAAATGTTAAGGATTTCGCCCTTATTTTTCTTGCAGTACCTAGATCACCCACATTTCTTTTGGTGCCATTATCATTTATCCAGATGATGATTAAGACATGTGCAGCAGTTAAGTACAGTGGTACCTGTGACCGAGCTCATAACTCGATTTGCTCATATGTCAAATAACTTTTCCTCATTGAAATTAATTGAAATGCCATTAATCTGTTCCAGCCCTCAGAAAACCACCCCAGGGGCAGGAGAAAATACTGCAGTATAATGCTAATATCACCTCTCTGGTTATTTATCTATCAGAATTGATCTAATATGACATAATAAACACCATAAGTAACATAGAAACACGATATATACTCTAGAATGAATAAAATAGGCCATAATATGGCGAGTGTCCAGGACCAGTCCGAGCATATAAAATTATTACTGCTCCTTCCTATAACGTGTTCTTTGGTCCTTGGTAAGAGAAAATGGAGTTTTGGAGAGGCAAACTGCACTAGAGTACTAGTGCAGTGACATATGAATATCTCATAAGTAAGTTATTTATTTATTTCATGAAGCCCACCATTTATTATTGAAGTAAATGCAATAATAATGAGAGGAATCATAAAAAAATTATTGTTCTACAATTGGCTTGTGGAATATTGGAAATATATGTATTCCAAACATTTTGGGATTTGTGTGGGAGTAAAGGGCAAGATATTTTGCAAATGTCAAAAACTTAACAACTTTATTTTTTTGTAGAATATAATTATACAATTACCTCCAGTGAGAACATCACACTAGCATTGTTTTATAAGTACATACCAAGTCCCAAAACCACCTTTCGTTGTGCTATTTAGGTCGGGGTTCTTGCCAAATGTCACTTTCAGTAAGTTTTTTTTTTCAGTATTTTTTTTTTGCTCGTAACTCGGATTTTGGCTTGCAACTCAAAGCAAAAAATTGACCGAGCGACGGCTCGTAACCCTGAAAACTCATAAGTTGGGGCACTTGTAAGTCAAGGTACCACTGTATTTTTAGTCTGAAACATTTCACCTACACAGTAGATGTCTTCAGTTGAATACAGAGGCAGGAGAAATGGGAGAGATGTGAAGATGAGATGGTATACTGACAAGATTAAAAGTTTATTCACTAACACTGGTCACATATGGTATTGGACGCATATGAATGAAGTACTAGGTGAGGGAGGTTGTGTATATTATTTAAGCCTTCTCCGTAAAACAATGACTCGCCCTGAGGCTCACTGTGAGTTGGGGGGAAGACTGCAGCATGTGTTGCATTTTTTACCTATATGTACTCTACTATGTAAACTGATTTTTATGGAGTATTCACCGAAAATGTCTCAGTTTTATAGCTGCATTGAAGCAAAAACGAGTTAACAGATCATGTGTTAGATGGTTTACTGTACTTTAAAAAATCAATTTATAAAAAATTAAAAGGAAGTAGGCTAATTTAAAAAATGATTGAGCTGGTACATAATTAATGAAGACCTTCATTTTAGGATAAGCTACCTGAGAACCCTGAAAATGAGTACAACCACAACTTTCGTGGAGCTTACTGCACGTGTCAGCGACCTTACCCAGACCCTGAAGACCCCACAGATGATGAGATGATCCAGTGTTGCTTCTGTGAAGACTGGTACCATGGCAGGGTCAGTATTGTACTTGTTAACTATTTATATGAAGTATCAGAAGCAAGACAGTTGGTCAGAAATACACTTTGTTAATTTTGGTTCTCTCATTTGTCCCAGTTTCTTATTAAAATGCACCATAACCTACAAATTTTAACTCTGGCACTGTCTTGTTATTTTATCTTGCTTTCCTTGTGTTTGACTTACCATAACCTTTTGCACATGATATTTTTTCATATTTCAGGTATTCTCTTGAATGCCTTATATATGAAAAGCAAACAGATATACAGTAGGACTCCCGTATCTGTGGGGGATACGTACCAAGGACCTGCCGTGGATACTGAAACCGTGGATAGTAGCAAACCCTATATATAAGTCCTATACATACCTATTATAAAGTTTAATTGATAAGTTATGATAAAAAGTGATAGTATTATCACTTTTTCACTGACATGAAGCACTTCACAGCCTCTCTTAGGCTTTGAAGAATTGCCGGCTTTTCTACTTTTACACTTTGGGGCCATTATTATGCAAAATTAAAAGGTATTTTTTGGGCCACAGTAAACCGTGGATAACTGAAACCATGGATATGGGGGTTCTTGCTTCTTTCAACACACCGGCTGTATCCCACAGAGGCGGGGTGGCCCAAAAGGAAAAAAGAAAGCTTCTCCTTTTACATTTAGTAATATATACAGGAGAAGAGGTTACTAGCCCCTTGCTCCCAGCATTTTAGTCGCCTCTTACAACACGCATGGCTTACGGAGGAAGAATTCTGTTCCACTTCCCCGTGGAGATAAGAGGAAATAAACAAGAATAAGAACTAGAAAGAAAATAGAAGAAAACCCAGAGGGGTGTGTATATAGTATATGCTTGTACATGTATGTGTAGTGTGACCTAAGTGTAAGTAGAAGTAGCAAGACGTACCTGAAATCTTGCATGTTAATGAGACGGAAAAAAGGACACCAGCAATCCTACCATCGTGTAAAACAATTACAGGCTTTCGTTTTACACTCACTTGGCAGGACGGTAGTACCTCCCTGGGTGGTTGCTGTCTACCAGTCTACTACCTAGAATGGGGGTTCTACTGTATGTAAATTACTATATATAAAGATCTTATATATTGCTGTGGATTCATTGATGCTTTGAAAGTATAGATTGAAATGGATGGCAAAACAACACATCCAAAATATAAATAGATAAAGCAGAATTGTGTCCAGTTAGCTATTTGGTACATATTTTCTTGGTTTTTTTGTTGATTTGTGATAGGATTTTATAGATTGATCCATGAATTTACTTGAAAATTCTTTGATCCATCACAGGTCCCGGTCCATGGGGAGGCAGTCAAAAAGTAACCAAATGACTGAAAAAAGAAATGCTTGATACTTGCAAATGTTATGCTATACTCTACCCTTACATTTTTCTTTAAATATTTCTTTATCAACCTAGGTAGTAGGTTGGTAGACATCAACTGCCAGGGAGGTACTACCGTCCTGCCAGGTGAGTGTAAAACAGAAACCTGTAATTGTTTTACATGATGGTAGGATTGCTGGTATCTTTTTTCTATCTCATAAACATGCAAAGTTTCAGGTATGTCTTGCTACTTCTACTTACATTTAGGTCACACTACACATACATGTTTTTTTTTTTTTTTTCAACAAGTTGGCCGTCTCCCACCCCTCTGGGTTTTCTTCTATTTTCTTTCTAGTTCTTGTTCTTGTTTATTTCCTCTTATCTCCATGGGAAAGTGGAACGGAATTTTTCCTCCATAAGCCATGCGTGTTGTAAGAGGCGACTAAAATGCCGGGAGCAAGGGGCTAGTAACCCCTTCTCCTGTATAACTTACTGAATTTAAAAAGAGAAACTTTTGTTTTTCTTTTTGGGCCACCCTGCCTCGGTGGGATACAGCCGGTGCGTTGAAAGAGAGAAAGACATATATATACACGCACACACACACACACACACAACACCCCTCTGGGTTTTCTTCTATTTTTCTTAACAGTTCTTGTCCTTGTTTATTTCCTCTTATCACCATGGGGAAGTGGAACAGAATTCTTCCTCTGTAAACTTTGTGTGTTGTAAGAGACGACTGAAATGCTGGGAGCAAGAGGCTAGTAACCCCCTTCTCCTGTATATATTACTAAAGTTAAAAAAAAAACTTTCATTTTTCTTTTGGGCCACCCTGCTTCGGTGGGATACGGCCGGTTTGTCGAAAGAAGATTTCTTTATCAAAAGTCACTGTTGGCAGTTGCAATTCAGCAGTATCGTCCCCACGAGTGATTTTTTAGGGGTTACTTGTTTAAATCTACAGGAGCAGAGCTATGCTTGTGTGTCTCATCTTTGGTAATTATTTTGTATGATTTTAGAAAATTAAATTGGTTGTAGCATTTATTTCCTCCAGTTCTAATACATTCCACTGTTCTGCCATTGTTACCAACAAAATTTTTCATTTTTTTTTTTCTACTGCCAGAGGGGCCATGTTGGGAAGTCATTTCTGAAGGTGGATGTTTTTTCCTACAAATTAATCCAGCAAATTTGGGCAGTTGTGTTTCAGTGATAGATTTCTAGTTTCCTGATGCTTTTGTACCTGAAGTAATGCATTATTCATTATGGTATGCTGTCTGATTGTAAATTTGCTTATTTTGATTTATAGCATCAGGGTGGTAATGTTCCTCCTGGGGATGAATATGCAGAGATGATTTGTGGAGAATGCCTTCCCAAACACAAGTTTCTTTCTTATTACATGAGTCTTGCTGGTAAGTGCTTTTGTTTCTGTATAGTACATACAATATTGTATGCTTTTAAGACCTTGATTTATGTATTTATTTATGATTATGTATGAGTGATGGTGAAAGTGTTGAATGATAGTCTTTTCTTTCTTTTTGGGTTGCCCTGCCTCGGTGGAAAATGGCCGACGTGTTAAAAATAAAAAATGTGTAATATATACATGCAAATCAGCCATGGGGGAAAATTGAGTAACTAGCTTAAGGTACCTTTCATGTTGCACCCAGTGCTTTTTCAAGAGTTTAGTACATGTATTAGGAAATCTGAAAAGGGAGATTAACCCTGACAAGATATGTCTTAAGGAGCATGCCAGTGACTGAATGAATGATGGTGAATGTCTTTTTCTTTGTGTAACCCTGCCATAGTGGGAGATAGCTATTGAGGTAAAAAAAAAATGCATGTATACACTGTGTATGTATGGCACATTCTTTATTCATATACTACATGTATTGTGGGTAAGACACTATACAATATATGTAGTAAAAAAATTTCATAATTTCAGTTACCACGGTTAAAAGTGAAGCCAGTAAAGACCTGGTTGAGGTTGAAAAGTCTCCTAATAAAAATACCCAAGTAAGTTGCACATTTTTATTTTTGTAAGGCATGTATAGTATGAGTGATATTTTTTCCTGAAACATACAAAAAGTTCCTCATTTGTGTACAGTATTTTTGTTTTACTCCATGGAGAAGTGTAAAAAGAATCCTTCCTCTGTAAGTCTTGCATGTTGTGAGAGGCAACTAAAATGTCTGGAGCAAGGGGCTAGTACTGCTTTTCCTGTATATATTACTAAATGTAAAAGGAAGAAAAACTTGCATGGTTCATTTTTGGGTCACCTTACCTTGGTGGGAGATGGTCAGTGTGTTAAAAAAATAATGTTTATTGTCAGTTGCTGGATATTTTTGCACAGGACTGACATAGTGTTGCATGTTGTCTCTGTTCTTGATACACACACAAACTCCAGGTTGAGATAATATGCAGTCTCTGGGCTACTCTTCTTTCTCTACCCTGATGTTTGACTTTTAGTCCTTGCATCATTTGTATGATCCAAAAGTGATGGGAAAGCCTTCCACCTGTATAGCTAGACTGGATGTATAGGCCTTGTTATTGGTTACATAGCTTTCATATTGGCTACATCCTTTTATGCTAACTCGGGTCTCTCAGTCTAGGTCGCTTGCAAAAAAAAATTTCTTTTCCAAGTTCCAGAGCATCACTGGACACCATTGTCAAGGGAAATGGCAGAGACTTGTCATTTTCTCTAAACTTTACAACTAAATTGAGAACCAACAATAAGATTTTTTCAAACAAATCAATATACAAGAACAAGAACTAGTAAGAAAATAAGAGGACCCTTGAATTTCATCATCCCTTTTCTGTATGTAAAACTATAGTTATTCTCTGTAAAATGTATTTTTTGTTAATATTTCCCATAAGAAATAATGTAAATCCAATTAATCCATTCCAGATACACCAGAGGGGTGTGTGTATATACGCTTGTACGTGCATGCATAGTGTGACCTAAGTGTAAGTAGAAGTAGCAAGGCATACCTGAAATCTTGCATGCTTTTGAGACAGAAAAAAGACACCAGCAATCCTACCATCATCTTCTTTCAACACACTGGCCGTATCCCACCGAGGCGGGGTGGCCCAAAAGGAAAAACGAAAGTTTCTCCTTTTACATTTAGTAATATATACAGGAGAAGGGGTTACTAGCCCCTTACTCCCGGCATTTTAATCGCCTCTTACAACACGCATGGCTTACGGAGGAAGAATTCTGTTCCACTTCCCCATGGAGGTAAGAGGAAATAAACAAGAACAAGAACTAGTAAGAAAATAGAAGAGGGGTGTGTATATATATATGCTTGTACATGTAAGTGTAGTGTGACCTAAGTGTAAGTAGAAGTAGCAAGACCTACCTGAAATCTTGCATGTTTATGAGATAGAAAAATGGACACCAGCAATCCTACCATGTAAAACAATTACAGGTTTACATTTCACACTCACTTGGCAGGACAATAGTACCTCCCTGGGTGGTTGATGTCTACCAGCCTAGTTTCTTTTTTTGTTCAAAATGTTCTCACTAAATTTCTTATGCTTAAATCTCTATTTTTTGGGCCTTTCAGAATCTTGTTCTGCCAGACTTGCTGGTCTTTACTTTGTTTCATGAATAAATAAGATGAGGTGTCTCAGAAACTACTACATGTACTTTGTATATATAGTACGTAGTCTAGCTTTATTCTTCTGTTTCTTAACCCTTTCAGGGTCGGTCCTGTGGATGTATGGCTTGTGAGCCACTGTTGGTTCTGTATTTTTTTTTTTTTTTTAAGGTGGAAGAAAGCTGGTAGGCCTGCATATGAAAGAATGGGTCTGCATGGTCAGTGTGTGCAGTATAAAAAAATTCCTGCAGCACAGTGCATAATGGGAAAAAAAAACTCTGACCATGTTTTTGGTTTAAAACAACGATTTTGCAGTGTATTTTCATTTGGTGTTTATGATTGTATTCTCGTTTTCTTGGTCTCATTTGATAGAATGGAAGATATATTACAGAAATAGAGATGATTGTGATTGGTTTCATGATGAAAAGTACCTTGAAATGAGCTCAGAGTAGTGGAAAAGTTTGATTTTTGCTGATGTTCAAGAGTAAACAAATCACACCACGCGTCCAATACACATCAACTGGTGAGTCTAGTGTTCTTTCACATGTGCCCTGATATTTATACAATTTTTACAATGATGCAGTAGTCTACATAACAGTAAATCTTATATTTTTTGTGAAAATAAAAATTCAAAATGAAAAGCAAGAATAATATAAGAGGGGATTAGAGACGTGACTAATGAACAGAGAAAATGTTATTTTAGTGCCAGTAATGTCTCTCTTGTTTATTCTGTACCCTATTTTGAAATTGGCATTTTTTGAAATTTGTGTGAAATTGACCAAATTGCCCATTTGACCACTTTATTGGGTAGTTGAAATTAGTAAATGGGCAGTTTCTGGTACTCAGTTGATGGAACAAATGGAATTCTAGTGAAATAGCTTAGGATTTTAGTCGACTGGAACAATGGAATTGGCTAAAAATAGGGCTCAAGGTGGGCAAAATCACCGATATCGCTATCTTTGTGAGAGCATAATTCCATAAGTTTTTAATCAAATTTCATACCTTTTTTTTTTTTTTATGTTTAAGGATTGGGGGTCTCGACCCTGAAAGGGTTAGTAAAATAGTTCTTATTCCTGTATTATTTCCTCTCCAACTCATGAAGCTTGGTCTGAAGCCATTCCAAAGGAGTAATGTTCTCCAGAACTGTTAACATCTGTTAAAAGTTCTGGAGAACATGTTAAATAATACTAAATGTTAAATAATGCTGAATAAGTGTAGGCTGTCTTTCCATAAGTTAGGAATGATTAAGCTATGCTATGGTAATTTTAGCGAGATTTATTTAGGGTGCGAAGTTAGCTTTGGTGGAAAATTAAAAAAAAATGCCTGTGGTGGTGTTAATTTATTAAAATATTTTTACCAAAATTATTTTTTAAGGACAGTTCAGTTTGTTTGACCTCAAAAGTGCCATAAGTGATAAAAGAAGGGTGGAGTATATGGCGTGTAAAAGAGGTGAAGAAAGTGGTGAGGGACTGTAAAAGGAAAGCAAATGATAGAGAGTTAGGTACTGTCAGCAAACTTTGCTGAGAGTAAGAAAGTTTTGGAGTGAGATAAATAAGTTAAGAAACCTTAGGAAACAAATGGATTTGACAGTTAAAAACAGAATAGGGGAGTTAGTAGATGGGGAGTTGGAAGTATTGGGAGGATAGTAGGAATATTTTGAGGAACCTGTTAAATGTTGATGAAGAGAGGGAGGCAGTAATTTCATGTATTGGCCAAGGGAGTATAGCATCTTTTAGGAGTGAAGAAGAGCCAGATGTGAGTATGGGGGAGGTGTGTGAGGCATTGGGCAGAATGAAAGGGGGTAAAGCAGCTGGAACTGAGGGGATCATGAAAGAAATTTTAACCCTTTAAGTGTCCAAACGTAGTTCTACATTCTTACTACAAGCATTTCAAATGTAGATTGATGGTTTATATTTCCTGCCTTCAGATTTGGCATGATAGGCCTGAGTGCCCTAGGCAGTATAGAATGGGTCTTAACCCTTTGACTGTCGCAAGCCCCTTTCTGAAACTGTCGTTTTATGTTGCAAAATTTTTGGGAAAAAAAATTATTTTTTCTTTTGAAATGATAGAGAATCTTTTCCTGGTGGTAATGACACCAAAAGTACGATATTTGGTTGAAAACTTGCGGAATTACGCTCCCGCGAAGTTAGCGGTCTCAGCAACATATACGCATCGGCGATTTTGCCGACTTCGAGCCCTGTTTTTGGCCAATTCCGTTGTTGCAGTTGACCAAACTCGTAGCTATTTCTTTAGAACTCCATTTTTTCTATCAGTTGATTACAAGAAACCACCCATTTACCGATTTGAACTACCCAATAAAGTGGTCAGAAATTGGCAATTTGGCCAATTTCCCGCAAATTAAAAAAGATGCCAATTTCAAAATAGGGTCCAGAATAAACAATGTAGACATTCTTGGCACTAAAATAACATATCCTCTGTTCATTAATCACGTCTCTAGGCCCCTCTTATATTACTATTGCTTTCTATTTTGATTTTTTATTCGTATAAAATATACAAAATTTACTGTTATGCAGACTACTGCATTATTGTAAGAATGGTATAAATAATATCAGTGAACTAGTGAAAGAATATTAGACTCAACAGTTGAAGTGTATGACGTGTGGTGTGATTTGCTTACTCCTGAACATTGGTAAAAATCGAACATTTCCGCTACTTTGAGCTCAATTTCAAGGTCATTTTCATCGTGAAACTAATGAAAATCATCTCTATTTCTGTAATATGTTTTCCATTTTATCACGAGAGACCATGAAAACGAGAATACAACGATAAATACTGTACGAAAATACACCTCAAAGTCAGCGTTTTAATCCAAAAAAAACGGTCATTTTTTTTTTCTCTCATGCACTGCGTGCTGCAGGATTTTTTTTATGTGGTGCACACTGACCATACAGACCCATTCTCTCACATGTGGGCCTACCAGCTTTCTCCTGCTTGATTTGAAGCCGCTAGAATTTACACATATAAATACGTCCAAAACATTGGCATGTAAGACGTATATATACGACCAAAACAGTCAAAGGGTTAACTCTCCGTGTGCAGTATTAAAAAATCTGGGACCACTTAGTACATTGTGGGAGCACCAGTTCAATTGAGTGACAGCTAGAGCAAACACTCACTCACACACTCAAGTCACTCTCTAAAATTATAATTATTATTTTCAGAATAAAGTACCAACTTCTCCAAAAGGAGAGAAACAAACAATTGGGAAGAGTGCTGAAGACTGTAAAACAATTACTCTCCTACAAGAAGATAAAGAAAAGACGGAAAGTAAATTTGCTGAGGAACCCACGAAAAAAAATGAAAAAGCTGAAGTTAATGGTTCTAAAGAAAACAAAATATCAAGTGAGTTATTTATTTAATAGTTTATGTATTTTCAATTTTATTTATGCCTTTAATTTTTAATTATTCTCATTAAGGGTATATTTATGGTTTGTTTCTTTGTATATATAATTCTTGAATACACTGTTGATGTATTCCCACATGAAGCTGTAAAGTGGAGCTTCATTCCAAAAGTGAAATTGGCAAGATGAATAAGGAAGTAGAGGTGTTAGAGAGGTTGAGAATGTTTTAGAAAGAGTTCGTGCAAGTGATAAAATGGAATAATGAAAATTAAGAGTTGAGGAGGAGTGTTGCATTAGAATACAAAAAGTGATCATGAATTGAATGAAACGATACCATGGCTGAAAGTTTAATAAGCAGAAGAGTTGCTTGAACTAAGACTGACATTCTGAAAGTAGGTTAGGAGAGAATGCTTGATACATTTGTTCAGTTCAAGCTTGCATGATTTATCTGTATGTACTTTGATAAGGACACAAGAGCATAAGTAGAACAGGTAAATAGATGTTGTGACTGGAAACTTAAATTTGATTGAAGTAGAAGAGGGAGTTTGAAATGGTGATGTGTATATCAAGTGGTTTGCATTAAAGCATATATGAGAGTAGCATGAAGACAATAATAATGTTAGATATATTTTGTAAATTATTATTGCATTTTAGGAGAAAATGGTTGTTGAGTATTATTTAATGAAACCCTCTGCATAGTGTCGATAACGTTCAGGGTAGAACCAGCAGTCATGTTTCAATATGGTCTGTGTGAATGCTTGAAAGGCATTGTTTTTTGTTAATTTTGTAGTTTGTGGGAAAATTGGTTAGGTGAATTTAAGAGTTAGAGGTTCATAAATAGTTTGTACACTTTGAAGAGGGGGTGATGTTGAGGTTTGTTGCTTAATCTTTAGATCACACTTTCTGTGCCAAGCTAGAAAATTCGTTGCTGAGTAAGGCCTTTGAGAAGAATAGGCCATCTGATACCATGTTTAACAAGTATGGCTTGTCAGCTTGAGGTTGACCCTTGAGAATAAACACATTACTGTATCTTTTTGCATGAGAAGTTGATGTGTAAACCACTTACTTTTTTGAGAGTAAACACGTATAATGTGTGTTAGTGTGGTAATGGAATACTTGTAAAGCTAACTCTTAACTTTGGTTATTCGACACTTGTGCATGCATATATTTAGATATTCTGATTTGCAATAATGAATTTTATTCAGTATTCATATGTATTATTCTAGGATGTAAACTGGATGTCCTAACAAAACAAGAATTACCCAGTGGTGCTGTATTTTTACCAGATCAGTGGAGAAAGCAACTCTGTACCTGTGATGTTTGCAAGGTAAATTGCAGTATTTTAGTTTGATATATTGTCCCTATAATCTTATTCTAGGTAGTAGGTTGGTGGACAGTAACTGCCCAGGGAGGTACTACTGTCCTGCCAAGTGAGTGTAAAATGGAAGCCTGTACTTGTTTTACATGATGGTAGGATTGCAGGTGTCTTTTCTCTGTCTCACAAACATGCAAGATTTCAGGTATGTCTTGCTACTTATACTTGCACTTAAGTTACACTATACATACATGTACAAGCATATATATACACACCCCTCTGGATTTCCTTCTGTTTTCTTACTGGTTTTGTTCTTATTTATTTCCTCTTATCTCCATGGGGAAGTGGAACAGAATTCTTCCTCCGTAAACCATGCATGTTGTAAGAAGTGATTAAGATACCGGGAGCAAGGGGCTAGTAACCCCTTCTCCTGTATAAATTACTAAAATTAAAAAGAGAAACTTTCGTTTGTCTTTTTGGGCGACCCTGCCTTGGTGTGATACAGCTGGTTTGTTGAAAGAAGAATCATCATCTTATTTACAAGAGGGTTGTTACTTGTATAGTTTTGCTTACTATAACAAACACCTACAGATGAAGGCATTTGAAAGAGCACTGTCATCTTACATTAAAGGTTTGCTTAAAATTGTGAAGGTATCATATATGGAAGCTTACTCTTGGAAAGGAGTAGTGGGAAAATATTGATTTTTGTAGTAAGCGTATATGCCGACTGCAGAAATTATTACAGGTGCACATCCCTTTATCTGAAACCCTTGGGGCCTGTATTTTTTAGAATTTCAGACGTTTTCGAATTTCAAAATGATTCTCGACACCACCCCGTGTCGGCGTGACCCAGCACGGGGATGACTGACACTCCACACTCCACGAAGAAACTTTGGTTTTCAGAACTTTTCGAATTTCAGAATTTCGGAGAAAGGTATGTGGACATGTATTAAGATTTTTTTTTTTTAACACATTGGCTGTTTCCCACGTAGGCAGGGTGACCCAAAAAGAAAGAAAAAACTTTCATCATCATTCAACACTTTCACCATCACTCATACGTAATCACTGTCTTTGCAGAGGCGCTCAGATACAACAGCCTACATGTCCCTCCAAACTGTCAATATCCCAAACTCCTCCTTTAAATTGCAGGCATTGTACTTCCCATTTCCAGGACTCAAGTCCGGCTAACCTGTTTCCTGAATCCCTTCACAAAATATTACCCTGCTCACACTCCATCAGGTCCCAAAAACCATTCGTCTCCATCCACTTCTAACACACTCGTGCATGTTTGCTGGAAGTCCAAGCCCCTTGTCCACAAAACCTCCTTTACCCCTTCTCTCCAACCTATTCGTGGACGACCCTTACCCTGCCTTCCTTCCCCTACAGAATTATACACTCTCCAAGTCATTCTACTTTGTTCTGTTTTCTTAGCCCTCTGACTAATACTTTTAATAACTCCACACTATGAATTCTCTGCATAATATTTACACCACACATTGCCCTTAGATACGACTGATCCACTGCCTCCGGCTTCTTCGCTGCAGCATTTACAACCCATGCTTCACACCCATTTAAGAGTATTGGTACCATTATACTCTCGTACATTTCCTTCTTTGCCTCCATGAATAACATTTTTTGTCTCCACAGATACCTCAACACATCACTCACCTTTCTTTCCTTCATCAATTCTATGGTTAACCTCATCCTTCATAAACCCATCTGCTTACATGTCAACTCCCAAATATCTGAAAACATTCACTTCTTCCATACTCCCTCCCTCCAATGTGATATCCAATTTTTCTTTATCTAAATTGTTTGATACCCTCATCACCTTACTCTTATCGATGTTCACTTTCAACTTTCTACCTTTACACACCCTTATTAAGAATACTGCTTAAAATTTTTTGCTAAATATTTGTTGATAATTATTACAGCATAGATTCTACTTATTACATTAGTTTTTTCAGGGTTTCATATTCAAATAATTTTTTTAATGACTGGCATAATTGTTTTTTTTTTTTTAATTCAACTTTTGATACTGCTGTTTTATTCTTCTGGTGTCACAGGTTCGATATTTTATTCAAAACTGCTTCCACTGAAGTTTCAAAATTGGTCAAGCTATAAAAGAAATTCTTCACAGTTACCAGTAGGATAATAGTGATGCCCGTTTTCCGTTTTGCAGGAGTTTATATTTTAACTTGAAATGAAAAAGTTTGAGCACTTTTGCTCTAGCTAGTGCCAGCTAAGTGAGGCAGTGTTACCAACAGTGAAAACTTTGCTGTACTCAACTAGCTGTACTTGCCTAGTTGTGGTTGCAGGGATCGAGTCACAGCTCCTGGCCCCGCCTCTTCACAGGTCGCTACTAGGTCACTCTTACTGCTTCATAAGCTTTATCACACCTCTTCTTAAAGATATGTATGAATCCTGCCTCCACTACATCACTTCCCAGACTATTCCACTTCCCGACAACTCTGTGACTGAAAAAATACTCCTAGCATCCCTGTGATTCATCCGAGTCTTCAACCTCTAACTGTGACCCCTTGTTCCTGTGTCCCATCTCTGGAATATTCTGCCTCTGTCCACCTTGTCGATTCCTTTTGGTATTTTATATGTAGTTATATTCCTCCATCTCTCTTGTCCTCCAGTGTCATCAGGTCGATTCCCCTTAACCTCTCCTTGTAGGACATGCCCCTTAGCTCTGGGACTAGTCTTGTTGCAACCCTTTTCTCTTTCTCTAATTTCCTTATGTGCTTGGCTAGGTGTGGGTTCCAAACTCGTGGTGCAAACTCCAATATAGGCCTAACGTACACAGTGTACAGGGTCCTGAATGATTCCTTATTGAGATGTCAGAATGCATGATACCATACATTGCTTTGTGAACAATATTGAAAACAATTACACTAATTTACTTAAACTGGCCTCTTCAAGGGGGGGATTCCGTGATATGGTGAAGAGGCTCTTGTTCTAAGGAGCTGGACCTTTAGTCTTCTTCCTTGGACCAATTGAAACTAAAGCTTCCCCCTCCCCACTCTGCCCTTCTCCACTCCATCTCTCACATTCCACCTTTTTCTGGCTCTCCCTTTCCTATGTTCAGCCTTTTTGGATATACCCTTGGAAATTATAGCTCCTGGGCCGAGGAAAGAGAATCTTTATTCATTTCATTAAGGTCCTTGGTGGTGGTGATTGTGTTTGCTGTGGAATCTGGATCATCTAGGGATGTACTGATTAGCCCTACAGGGTTCCAGAGGGCAGCTTTGGGTGTCCTCACAGTGATGGGTGTATCTCTGGAGGCTTCCTGTAAGTTTCAGGGAGTGCCTTGCAGCAGGTTTTCAGGCACCCTCTCATGTGTCTACCAAGGTGGCTCAGCGGATGTAGGGTTGCTATTGCAGGTTGCCAGTTTACTGGCATGAAGGGTAGGGGTAGGGTAGGGTATGGGTTCCATACACAGCATCAACATCACACAACCCCAGCACATCAACAGACCTGTCTTCAGACCTTTCCAAGAACCCAGTACCACCTTCGTGTAGCACCTCGTTGCCCAACTCTTGTACCAAGGTTCTGATTGACCCTTTCAATATGTGATCTTCACATACCCTTCACCATGATTCTGACCTTCCCTGTCCTTTTTACAGTGCATAGTTTTTCAGATCGCTCATGCATCAAAGGATGGACCAATTCTGGTCCCTTGTCCAAGCGACTTCAACCTCTAATAGATGAAACTAGCTCTGTTACTTCTACCTCTTGCTCGTATTCTCAGAAACAAGCTGCTCCAGTCTCTTCCTTTACAATCTGTGTTTCATATTCTTAGCTATTTTGCTAATATTCCTTCCATTTTATTGATTGAGCACAAGAAACCAACCATTCAGCTATTAGAACTATGAGGTGCACAGAAGTTGGTAATTTGGCCAATTTTATACACAAAAAAATACCAATTTAAAAATAGTCCAAAATAAACAATGTAAACATTCCATGCTACTAGCATGTCTTCCATTATATAAAATGATACCAAGGAACAGCCAATAAAGCCATAAAAACCATCCTAGAAAACACTTCAAATTTGCTATTTTATACCAAACTCAATTTTGATTTTCCCATTATGCACTGCATGGAGCAGAATTTTTTTTTACTGTGCATATTCTCAGCACAGACCCATTCTCTCATATGTACTGAGTAAGATAGCTCATTATGTAGAACTATGTGAGGGACCCTGGCCTCAGTGATGTATTTCTACATGGCAGTCACTGAAAGGGTTAAGAATGCCAAGTTCTCATTGGAAACAATTATTATTTGCTTTACCTTGTATAATAGCATTTTTGAAGTATTTAATGTTTGCAATGCACAAGTTGATGCTGGCTCAGCCTTTGTAACATCCGAATAATTAACATTGCACTGTATGTCCAGTTGAAATGGCTTAGATTACAGGTCTTGTATATTTCTTAATTTTTTTTTTTTTTATTATTATCACACCGGCCGATTCCCACCAAGGCAGGGTGGCCCGAAAAACAAAAACTTTCACCATCATTCACTCCATCACTGTCTTGCCAGAAGGGTGCTTTACACTACAGTTTTTAAACTGCAGCATTAACACCCCTCCTTCAGAGTGCAGGCACTGCACTTCCCATCTCCAGGACTCAAGTCCGGCCTGCCGGTTTCCCTGAACCCCTTCATAAATGTTACTTTGCTCACACTCCAACAGCACGTCAAGTATTAAAAACCATTTGTCTCCATTCACTCCTATCAAACACGCTCACACATGCCTGCTGGAAGTCCAAGCCCCTCGCACACAAAACCTCCTTTACCCCCTCTCTCCAACCTTTCCTAGGCCGACCCCTACCCTGCCTTCCTTCCACTACAGACTGATACACTCTTGAAGTCATTCTGTTTCGCTCCATTCTCTCTATATGTCCGAACCACCTCAACAACCCTTCCTCAGCCCTCTGGACAACAGTTTTGGTAATCCCGCACCTCCTCCTAACTTCCAAACTACGAATTCTCTGCATTATAATCACACCACACATTGCCCTCAGACATGACATCTCCACTGCCTCCAGCCTTCTCCTCGCTGCAACATTCATCACCCATGCTTCACACCCATATATGAGCGTTGGTAAAACTATACTCTCATACATTCCCCTCTTTGCCTCCAAGGACAAAGTTCTTTGTCTCCACAGACTCCTAAGTGCACCACTCACTCTTTTCCCCTCATCAATTCTATGATTCACCTCATCTTTCATAGACCATCCGCTGACACGTCCACTCCCAAATATCTGAATACATTCACCTCCTCCATACTCTCTCCCTCCAATCTGATATTCAATCTTTCATCACCTAATCTTTTTGTTATCCTCATAACCTTACTCTTTCCTGTATTCACCTTTAATTTTCTTCTTTTGCACACCCTACCAAATTCATCAACCAATCTCTGCAACTTCTCTTCAGAATCTCCCAAGAGCACAGTGTCATCAGCAAAGAGCAGTTGTGACAACTCCCACTTTGAGTGTGATTCTTTATCTTTTAACTCCACGCCTCTTGCCAAGACCCTCTGCATTTACTTCTCTTACAACCCCATCTATAAATATATTAAACAACCACGGTGACATCACACATCCTTGTCTAAGGCCTACTTTTACTGGGAAATAATTTCCCTCTTTCCTACATACTCTAACTTGAGCCTCACTATCCTCGTAAAAACTCTTCACTGCTTTCAGTAACCTACCTCCTACAACCATACACTTGCAACATCTGCCACATTGCCCCCCTATCCACCCTGTCATATGCCTTTTCCAAATCCAAAATGCCACAAAGACCTCTTTAGCCTTATCTAAATACTGTTCACTTATATGTTTCACTGTAAACACCTGGTCCACTCACCCCCTACCTTTCTTAAAGCCTCCTTGTTCATCTGCTATCCTATTCTCTGTCTTACTCTTAATTCTTTCAATAATAACTCTACCATACACTTTACCAGGTATACTCAGCAGACTTATCCCCCTATAATTTTTGCACTCTCTTTTATCCCCTTTGCCTTTATACAAAGGAACTATGCATGCTCTCTGCCAATCCCTAGGTACCTTACCCTCTTCCATACATTTATTAAATAATTGCACCAACCACTCCAAAACTATATCCCCACCTGCTTTTAACATTTCTATCTTTATCCCATCAATCCCGGCTGCCTTATTCCCTTTCATTTTACCTACTGCCTCACGAACTTCCCCCACACTCACAACTGGCTCTTCCTCACTCCTACAAGATGTTATTCCTCCTTGTCCTATACACGAAATCACTGCTTCCCTATCTTCATCAACATTTAACAATTCCTCAAAATATTCCCTCCATCTTCCCAATACCTCTAACTCTCCATTTACTAACTCTCTTCTCCTATTTTTAACTGACAAATCCATTTGTTCTCTAGGCTTTCTTAACGTGTTAATGTCACTCCAAAACTTTTTCTTATTTTCAACAAAATTTGTTGATAACATCTCACCCACTCTCTCATTTGCTCTCTTTTTACATTGCTTCACCACTCTCTTAACCTCTCTCTTTTTCTCCATATACTCTTCCCTCCTTGCATCACTTCTACTTTGTAAAAACTTCTCATATGCTAACTTTTTCTCCCTTACTACTCTTTACATCATCATTCCACCAATCGCTCCTCTTCCCTCCTGCACCCACTTTCCTGTAACCACAAACTTCTGCTGAACACTCTTAACACTACATTTTTAAACCTACCCCATACCTCTTTGACCCCATTGCCTATGCTCTCATTAGCCCATCTATCCTCCAATAGCTGTTTATATCTTACCCTAACTGCCTCCTCTTTTAGTTTATAAACCTTCACCTCTCTCTTCCCTGATGCTTCTATTCTCCTTGTATCCCATCTACCTTTTACTCTCAGTGTAGCTACAACTAGAAAGTGATCTGATATATCTGTGGCCCCTCTATAAACATGTACATCCTGAAGTCTACTCAACAGTCTTTTATCTACCAATACATAATCCAACAAACTACTGTCATTTCGCCCTACATCATATCTTGTATACTTATTTATCCTCTTTTTCTTAAAATATGTATTGCCTATAATTAAACCCCTTTTATACAAAGTTCAATCAAAGGGCTCCCATTATCAATTTACACCTGGCACCCCAAACTTACCTACCACACCCTCTCTAAAAGTTTCTCCTACTTTAGCATTCAGGTCCCCTACCACAATTACTCTCTCACTTGGTTCAAAGGCTCCTATACATTCACTTAACATCTCCCAAAATGTCTCTCTCTCCTCTGCATTCCTCTCTTCTCCAGGTGCATACACACTTATTATGACCCACTTCTCGCATCCAACCTTTACTTTAATCCACATAATTCTTGAATTTACACATTCATATTCTCTTTTCTCCTTCCATAACTGATCATTCAACATTACTGCTACCCCTTCCTTTGCTCTAACTCTCTCAGATACTCCAGATTTAATCCCATTTATTTCCCCCCACTGAAACTCCCCTACCCCCTTCAGCTTTGTTTCGCTTAGGGCCAGGACATCCAACTTCTTTTCATTCATAACATTTCATTCTTAATTTACAGTATTAATTTCTTTTCAGGCCAAGTACAGTGATGAAGGTGTTCTCTTCCTGCTTGATGATGAGGACACTGTAGCATTTTATGAGGAGAGTGGCAAGTCTTGTAATCAGAATTACAGTGCTCCAGTGCAGAGAGAACTGGAAGCTCTATCCTCTCTAGACCGTGTTACTCGCACAGAGATGGTTCATGGTAAGAATGTGTGAATAAATCATTTGTTAAGAACTCGGCAGAAGGTGCTTTTTTGAGATTGCTGATTGAGCGATATGAAGTGCCATATTGAGGCAAAGTATAAGAAATTGATGCCTATTGATAAGCACTTTATGTGGTTACAGAGTACAACACACTGAGTTTGTCACTACGAGAGTACCTTCGCAAGTTTGCAGAGAACAAGAAAGTAGTGCGTGATCAAGATATTCATGAATTCTTCTCTCAGTTAGAAGCTAACAAGAAGCAACGTCCAGGCTCAAGTATCCAGCTATTTTGCAAGTGAAATGCTGTGCACAAGGCACCTTTGTTGTAGTGGATTTCAGAACAGTTGTAGTTTCTCCATTAGTTTTGAAATAGTTGCATTTCAGTATTTTCATTTAGTTTCAGAGGTTTAAGGACAGTTTAATGGGTAAGCTGCACTATTAAAGGTTGCTCGAATATGGATAATTTTTATGTCGATTGATTTTAACTTTTTCTTTACAATACAAAGCCAAGAGAAATTATTGTATGGTTAAGAGTACATTGTACATTTAGGAAAATAAGTATGTAAAGCTCATCAATATAATTAATTATTGTTTCACTGGATTAGATAAGTATTTAATAATTCTTGGTTTACTGCAAGAGTAAGCTACAAACAGCATAAGAATTTAAAAAAAATAAAACAGCTGTACAAATTGCTTTTGATAATTACATTTTTAATAAAAATTTAATTGAAAATTGACTTGCAAGTAATGTTTGTACGAGTCTTTTTAACCATTTTCACGACCCGTTGTAATCCAACCAAATAATTTAATGCTATAGCATTTTATTTCATAGGAAATCATTTACTTGGTGAGATAATGTATTCCAGTGTGGCTTATACAGGATGAATGTATTCATATTGACAATTTTTTGTACTGTGGATACTTGGAGGAGTGTTATGAAGGCAGGTTAACCCTGTTTAAAATTTACTTTAGGTGTTCAAATGGGATCATGAAAGGAGGGAACTCTCAGAATATAGGTAAAGTTACCATTTTCTCACTGACAAATGGTGCAGTGTGTATTTAAATACTATATATTTTTTGTTTATTAACTATTTTTTTACTATGATTTCCTTCATGTTAAATGGGACTTAGCATAAACGATCAAGTATTTATTTCTGAATATATAATTTACACGAAAGTTTGATTATCTAAGATAATTGATTGCAGAGAGATTTCTGAAAATCTGCCTTTCACATAGTACATGTATTGAAACTTGAATATTAACCTTATGCACATAAAATGTGTTCATATGATTGAGTTAGTGTATGTTTAATATGTATGTGAAGTTTCACGTGTACAACAGAAGTATGTACCGTAAGTATTTTCTTTGATATCCACACACACTTTAATTACTCTGTTGTCTTTGATAATCAAGACTAGACTGTTCTATTTTTATTGTCTCCATGATGTGTAACTTCGTGCAACTCCTCAGTACATCATAGGATCTTCATCTCACTTGGAGTAAATAACAAACGAGTACATTTTGCATGCTTATTATATGCCAAAAACAAGGCTTAAATTGAATTATTATTGTTATTGAAATCATTATAGAACTCTCAATAAAGAATTAATAAAATTTAATTAATTAAATTTGTTTAGTTTTTACAAATATTTTTTTTTAATTTTCATGCCCAGTTTTGTTCTGGTGAATATTGAGAACAAGTAGCCCAGCTAGGTGAAATGTCTTGTGTTTACACATTTCTCCTTTTTGTTCTTTTAATCATTACATAGTAATTCAGTCAGCTGACCATTTGTCACCTGCTGTTTCTCATTGAGTAGTATTTTAAAACTAGCTTAATCTTTTTAAAATAGATTTTCAGCAAGTACAAAGTTCACTGGCTTTCAGAAAGCTGTCAGTGATACTGTTCAACTGGGATATTTTAAGTAGTGCATACTGCTGTGGTAAGGATCACATTAGTATATTGTACAATTTCATGAAAACAGAGTTTAAAAGTTTGTAAAATATAAACAGAGACAATACATAGCTTTAGTTTTATTAATTTCCTATGACATTTCCAATATTGCTCTAATTTTAGATGACATTGATTCTGATGTTGTATGTCCCTTAAGCTCCTCCTGTCTCTCCTGGTTCTTGTAAGAGTCATTTAACTTAAGTTCAATAGTTTCCACATCCCTGGTCAGCGCCTCCTTTCGTGTATCAGATATTCTAGCACTCCTGAGGAGCTCAGTGACTCTTCGTCGTCTTCTGTAGAGGGAGCGTCTTTCTCCAGTTTACTCCTGCTCTTCTTCTTTCTTAGGGGAATATGCCTAGTACATGTTTCAGCTGCCAGGAAGTTGATCCTTTCAAGGCACTGGTTTGGATCCATGTCATTTAAGATATCTTCCCAACATGTTTCATTTAGGACATGGTTTACCTGGTCCCAGTTGATGTTCTTGTTGAAGTTGTATTTTGTGAAGACACCTTCACAGGTACATGCATTCTGCTGATCAGGACCCCTATGCATGTACGTCTGGACTTCGATTAGGTTGTGATTGGAATTAGTTGTTTTTGATATTCTTATGTCTCTTGTCAGGTCCTCATTATTTGTGAAGATAAGGTCAAGTGTGTTTTCTAGTCTTGTTGGCTCCACTATCTGCTGGCTCAAGGTGTGTTTTTTGCAGAGACTTAGTAGCTCGTGTGTGTGACCTTTCATCTGTGCTACCTCCAGGGATTGTTTCAGCTATAACATTATTTGCTACATTCTTCCATTTTGTATGCCTTAGGTTGAAATCACCAAGCAGTAAGATGTTTGGGGATGGAGCTGGAAGGTTTTCCAGACAGTAACCAATTTTCAGTAGCTGTTCCTTGAACTGTTGAGGTTGCATCTGGTGGCTTATATACAACCACAATGACTAGGTTTTGGTTCTCGATCTTTATTGATAGAACTTCAACTACCTCGTTTGTGGTGTTTAGCAACTCTGTGCAGATGAGGGACTCTTTGACATACAGGCCAACCCCCCCTTGTTGCCTGTTCTTTCTGTCGCATCTTAAAAGGTTGTAACCACTTATCCATATTTCACTGTCAAAGTGATCTTTTGTGTGAGTCTCTGTGAAGGCTGCAAACATTACATTAGACTCCTCTAGAAGTCCACTGATAAATGGTATTTTGTTGTTGGTGGATGGCTTAAGGCCCTGTATATTAACAAATATGAATGAGGTTGTATTCTGTATTTGTTGGGGGGATTTTGTTATTGGCATCAGTAGTTGTAGTTCTGGAGGGCCATGGGTGGCCACTGGCTGCACCTCCAGTCCAACAAGGCTCCAAGGTGGTGGACTATTTTTGTTATTTCCTTCCATTTTTTTCCGTTTCCTGCCACTAAAAAATCACCTGGAGTTGGGTTGTCGTAGCTACTATTGTTTGTCTTGTGGGGTCTGTGCCTCCTGGTCCCTTTTAGATGGTATGCAGGGCAGTTGTTGTAACACTGCTTCTGGAGGACCGAGGAGTGACACATTTTTGGGTGAAAGAAAGTACAGGAAGAAGAACGACACACTCCTTTAGACAGGAGGTCGCTACATTTTTTGGGATGCTCAAAGTTGCATGTCCCATTTTTTTCCTGATATTCCATGCTTACAGATGCCCCAAGCATAATATTTGCACAAATTCACCTTTGGATGAGAATTGTTGGGAGGTGTGTTGTCAATTTCTGCAGGTTCTGGGACTGCACTATAATCCTCAGTATCCAAGCCAGGGCCACCCCGTCCTGGATTCCATCTACTTTCCTCAGTAGAGGAAGAAGTAGGAGACTCCTCTCCTACATCTGTACTGTAGGCCACGGTCTTGTGCAGTGATGGTTGTATATTTACGGTTTTAGTGGAGGTTGTGGTAGGGTCCCTAGTAGAGTCGGGGCTGGGACTGAGTCAGCACTGGGGCTGGGGGCTGAGCCTGGGCCAGAACCAGCACTGTGGGTATTAGTGCTATGACTGGGGGATGGGTCTGGTTTAGCACTATGTGGGTGACTAGATAGTTTCGAGTCATCTGTTGTGGTATGGGCATTCTGCATTTTTTGATACACTATCTCTTGTTCCCATGTTTTATATATTTTTGGTAGACTATCCAAGAGGTCATCTTTGTTTTCTTGATTATTTTTATCATTTATTACTCTCCTTAGTACATTTCTGATACCTGCCCAAAGTTCTACATCTTTATTGCACAACCAAAGCACCTTGCTAGTTCGAGGTCATTTTTTGAGGCTGTATTTAGTCTAGTACAAGAGATATGGTGTTTGGAAAAGCATAGGTTGCATGTGATTCTGGATTTCCTTCCAAGGATTTTTTTACATGTCCCACAGATATGCTGTGCTGACATCCTGTCTGTATCCTACTACAGGGGGGGAACCACCCCTACTGGTTGGGGTACAAAGTGGTGGGGGAGAGGTGAGGGGAGGCAGTGGAGATGTCCTGTCTAAGGGCAATGTGTGGTGTAAATATTATGCAGAAAATTCAGAGTGTGGAAATTAGGAGAAGGTGTGGAGTTAATAAAAGTATTAGTCAGAGGGCTGAAGAGGGTTTGTTGAGGTGGTTTGGTCATTTAGAGAGAATGGATCAAAGTAGAATGACATGGAGAGCGTATAAATCTGTAGGGGAAGGAAGGCGGGGTAGGGGTCCCGTCCTCGAAAAGGTTGGAGGGAGGGGGTAAAGGAGGTGCTGTGGGCGAGGGGTTTGGACTTTCACCAAGCGTGCGCGAGCGTGTTAGATATGAGTGAATGGAGACAAATGGCATTTGGGACCTGACGAGCTGTTGGAGTGTGAGCAGGGTAATATTTAGTGAAGGGATCCAGGGAAACCGGTTATTTTATATAACCGGACTTGAGTCCTGGAAATGGGAAGTACAATGCCTGAACTCTTAAGGAGGGGTTTGGGATATTGACAGTTTGGAGGGATATACATGTATTGTGTATTTTTATATGTATATACTTCTAAACTGTTGTATTCTGAGCACCTCTGCAAAAACAGTGATTATGTGTGTGAGTAAGATGAAAGTGTTAAATGATGATGAAAATATTTTCTTTTTGGGGATTTTCTTTCTTTAGGGTCACCCTGCCTCGGTGGGAGACGGCCAACTTGTTGAAAAAAAAAATTATTACAGTATACTAAAGTAGAAGCACTAAACTGATAGGGACAGGTCAGTCTTAAAACTTCTTAATTCAACTCAGCAGTGCTGTATGGCCCTTGTGGGTTTAGTGCCTAGTTTTAATTATAATCAATTGATTGGTCTATTATCTTTCGGTCCCATCAAGGGAAGTGCTGTGATATCAATACAGAACTCTGAATTCACATACTGGAAATTTTCCCCCCCTTCCTGTGATTGAACCTAATTTCCTTCTCCGTACTTATGACCCTATGGGTTTAGCACCCCAACTAATTAAAATTTTATATAAAGGTTTTAACATCACTTAGGGGAATTGCTTTTTGTGCAAAATTCACTTATGTGGTGACCCCTTTTACCAAAATTAGCTTCAGTAATTAAAATTCCTTATGCCTGGGAGGGGAAAGGTGCTGCATGCCCCACTTCATTGTGAAGGGGGCCATCTAAAGTATTAATATCTTTGAATATCACAAAACTAGTTATGTTGACATAAGTGAATTTAAAGAAAGTAGACTTGGGGGGTGGTAAAATCCCGTGAGCCATCTAAACAAAAGCCAATGTTTTTTTTCAGTTTGTCTTTTGCCAAAAGGTATTGGAAATTCAGCCAAACAAAAATTGGTTGCTCTGACACTCAGGACTAGGGGTCAAGGGAGAGAGATAAGATTAATAAAGAGACACGTACTATAATTGTAGGTTCATAATACATGCATTTCAGTCCAGACAGGATAGGCTGGCTGGTTGAATTTTGAATTTAATTAATTTTTTTTTTTGGTATAAGGCCATTGGGTACCTAACTGCTATGCTTGATATTTTTTTTTTTTTTTGTAAAAAATAAGTAAATGAAAAATTCTTTCCCCAGTTGTATATATTATTAGGACTATGAATTTTGGACTTTTTTTTTCCAAATTTTCACCAAATTTGTTTTGTTATGATGTGTGGTAGGCTCATATATTTTTTGGAAAACTAATAAAAAAAGGTGGAATTAGTTTTATGCAAATTTTCTCTCGAGGGAAGTGTCTTGATGCAGGTGAGGAGCTCTTGATAAAAAGAACTGAACTTTTCCTTCCTTTCCTTGGAATGAACCTGAATGCCTCCCATCCCCATGTGCTATATAAACCCTACAGGTTTAGCATTCCACCCGATTAAAACAATTTATGCTAATTCACTTTGTGAGTCATGGACCAGAAATGCATGTCACATGAAGCAAGTGTGACTTCTGTCATTGGTTTTAATGTTTTATGTAAATGTAATTTTAATAATTTTTAGAGCCAAGCCTTTAATTCATATGACTGCTATAAGGCCCTCTTAAAGTTCCTTACAAGTGTATTCCTCTGAGAGTAGATATGAGTGTTTTAAGGTTTTCTTCTGAATTTAATAATTATCTGAGCAGGTTCATTTTCACAATGGATAGATTATAACCTTTGTTGTGCCTTGGGCCACACTGGTGGTGAATTCTCAATCCATGGTAGTTCTATCATCCATACAGTTCACCGCATACCTTGAAATGTAAGTAATTTTTAAAGGGCTGGACCGGTAAGCCAGCGGAAGGCCTTGGTCAGATGATCAAAAGCTCCAACGGCGGGCCATCTGACTAAGACCCACGTCAGGAAGCACTTGTCCTGCTTCCTGACAAACCTTACCTTTGGAATGTAATAATACTTCAGTATGGGTTAACCTGTATAGGGTATAATAATAACACACGTAATATTAATAATAATCATCCATGATGGCCGAAGAAACTACCCCAAGTTTTGGCATACATTTGCTCTGGGGTTGGCGTAGAGCTTTTGATTGGAGGAATTGAGAGTTACTATAGTCTTCCTACAGTGCTTATTTTCATTGGTTTGGACCGTAACCCTGGAGCTGTAGCCCGTCACTAGACAATACTCCTTTGGTAAATGGACATAGGTAGAAACAGGGGTTTTTTGTTTCCTTCGCTGGATCAATCACTTTGATCAACAATCTCTACATCATCTGGTGGTAGTGATACCTCCCAGAGATACTGGGAAGCCATCCAGAGCCAGTTGGTATTATGAGTCTGTTGCTCCTGCATGATAGTATGATGACAGGTGGTATTATGAGTCTGTTGCTCCTGCATGATAGTATGATGACAGGTGGTATCATGAGTCTGTTGCTCCTGCATGATAGTATGATGACAGGTGGTATCATGAGTCTGTTGCTCCTGCATGATAGTATGATGACAGGTGGTATTATGAGTCTGTTGCTCCTGCATGATAGTATGATGACAGGTGGTATTACGAGTCTGTTGCTCTGCATTGATAGTATGATGACAGGTGGTATCATGAGTCTGTTGCTCCTGCATGATAGTATGATGACAGGTGGTATCATGAGTCTGTTGCTCCTGCATGTTAGTATGATGACAGGCGGTATCATGAGTCTGTTGCTCCTGCATGTTAGTATGATGACAGGTGGTATTATGAGTCTGTTGCTCCTGCATGATAGTATGATGACAGGTGGTATCATGAGTCTGTTGCTCCTGCATGATAGTATGATGACAGGTGGTATCATGAGTCTTGCTCCTGCATGATAGTATGATGACAGGTGGTATCATGAGTCTGTTGCTCCTGCATGATAGTATGATGACAGGTGGTATCATGAGTCTGTTGCTCCTGCATGATAGTATGATGACAGGTGGTATCATGAGTCTGTTGCTCCTGCATGATAATATGATGACAGGTGGTATCATGAGTCTGTTGGTCCTGCATGACAGTATGATGATAGGTGGTATCATGAGTCTGTTGCTCCTGCATGATAGTATGATGACAGGTGGTATGAGTCTGTTGCTCCTGCATGATAGTATGATGACAGGTGGTATCATGAGTCTGTTGCTCCTGCATGATAATATGATGACAGGTGGTATCATGAGTCTGTTGCTCCTGCATGATAGTATGATGACAGGTGGTATCATGAGTCTGTTGCTCCTGCATGATAGTATGATGACAGGTGGTATCATGAGTCTGTTGCTCCTGCATGATAGTATGATGGCAGGTGGACTGACTAGTCTCACTCTACCTCTGTCTTAAAGTCAATGAAGTTCAGTTGAAGTTCTTCTCGTATTATTAATCACAAACTGCTAACTGACATTTCAAGATTGTAATAACTCTCTTTTTAAC